ACAGGGCTTGTACTACAAAAAATTATATATAAATTAAATATATAATTAAGGAAGACCCTAAACTTGAATTAAAGTATGTGCACACTTCTCTTTACCTGTACATTGTAGTAACACAGCACCATCACTCAGTCACAGCTTCTCACAAACTGTACCTTTTTAAAGAGCGGTTACATAGTCATCTGGTTTCTATTCAACACTGATGTAAAGATGCTGACATAATTATAATTTTGAAAGACGGCATTATCCTCTAAGGTTTCTCTCTGAAACTCTTAGTGTAATAGCATTATCTGCTCCCATCATGTTGCAGACCTCTTGCTCTTGTTGAAATGAAAAGACTGTACAAGGACGTAGTTAAGTCCTACAAGTTGAAATCCACAGATAGATACTTATTACTTTACTGTGCTGTATTGTGTGCCTCATGCATCTCTTATATCATGAGTTTCAGACGTGCATTGAACTTTTAGAAATGTTCACATCTTTACTTTATTTCTACGTTAACTCTTTAATTGCAACAACTGGAATAATGGTATTCCATCGAAACATGAACAAGGACTTTCCGGTATTTCCTGTTGAGTATTTGGATAGTTGAAGACACAGTAGCATGAAATACTTTAGGCTGCACTCGGTGACCAGCCTCTGCAATTGTAGAATAATTGCATGGTCCACAATTGTGGCCGGTATTTTATCTGAGAAAGCTCTATGCCTTTGTACTCTACTGCCTTTTCCCTTATTCTGCTGTCTTTCTGTCACCACGCCATCATGGATCTTTAACCTTCTTCTTTAGGAAGGCACTTACCTAAGACAGCTTCCTCCATGCTCAGAATGATTCTGTTGTATAAACATGTTTCAAAAAATCCATACTCCATAAAAAAAAAAATCGATATTAATGTAATGATATTCCTAGCATGTATGCCTTACAGATATTGACAATTGAATGGACTGTTGTGCATGACACTGAAGCAATTCATAAATGTTTTTGAAACGACATGTATTCAAACAAGCGGCAAAATAATCAGTTTAAATCAGCCATAAATATTCAACTGGTGATTGTGCAAATTGTAGGCAATTGTACTTACTTATTTCCATATATGTACTAAATGATATATTGTTTTTAAATTGCGGCTTATCAAGTCAAAGTCAACTTTAATGTCAATCTTACTCGGTTTGTGTTTACAGACAGAGAGATCGAAATGACGACAATCCCGAATATAAAATTATACAATATACAGATATGTATAAAAATATGTATAAAATATGTATATCCTATATACACAATCAACAGACACAATACACTTTGGGTTTTTAACCCTTTAGAATGACATCAAATTATATATTTTGTAAAAGGGCATACATGGGCATGTTTTTAGACAAAGTAATTAGAACATGTGTTATTTATTAATTGTAGCCATTAACAAGAAATACAGGTAGCTAAAATATTTTTTAAATTATGTATACAACACATTTGTATGGCATTGGTGTATGGCAGTATCTAAGAATATATGTATCCATCCATCTCTCTTCCTGTTACCCCTACCTCTTTCTGATGTTTAATTCCAAGGTCCACCCAGCCTCTGGTTGCAGCATCGATAAAGACCTCACTGGAATACAGAGCCAGACCCCCCCCCACCCCACCCCCCCTTACAAGCACACGCACGGCACACACACACACACATCCATGCACACACACCCCAAGCCCGCTGCAGCAGGGCGCTCTAATTAACAGCCAGGGAGTCCATGTAGTAGTAGTAGCCGACGGGGTGTTAAAAAGACCATCTGAACCCTCTCAGGAGAGGGGTGGGGTTGGGGAGGGGGCAGAGGGGAGCAGATGTAGGCCTGGCATATTCCTCGCCTCAGGGGAGCCCGCCTCCGACCCCCCCATCGATCTTCCCCTTCTTTTTCCTTTCTTTTCCTGCCTGTTTCGTCAATGACCGTACCACTGGCCTCCATTCAGGTGGATCATTAGCATTGATTCGTCCGGGATAGTAGAGGGGGGAAAGGGGTCCCTTAATTCCAGTTGGGTCTCAATTGGCTGATATCAGATGGTTGCTATGAGGCCTGATCACCACCTGAGCTCTAACCAGAGACTCAGCCCCCTCACCAGACGCTCCTCTGATTGCTCTTTTGCCTTTTGTGGCATTTCCCCCCCCTCCATCGTCCTCTCATCCGTGCCATCAGCAGCGGCTTGACATTCCTATCGGATGGGTCTCTCCAAAGCTGATGACTGTGGAAAGAAAGGAAGAGAGCGATGGATCGTATCTCCACTCAGCCTCTCATCCCCATCGCAGAGTGTGTGTGGAAACAGATGGTACACGTCTGTCATGTGGTTAGGTAGCGGGGGCCCGGAGGAGGAGAGGAGCCGTTGATGTGGCCATGGTCTGCGTCCTGGACTCTGTTTGGAGTCAGATTTGTCAGTGATGCACATTCAGAGCGAGGAAACGTTTAGGGTTCCTTCTTCATGCTTGACAATCAGGTGTAAGTTTGATTTATTATCCAAGCGAATTGGCATCTTGATAATTGCTTTTCTACTGTAGGAAATATTTAATTATAGTTCCAGGTATGGGGGAGGTGTATGTGCGAGAGGGATCAAGTGGTTAAAAGGGTAAGGAGAGGAGGAAGCAGCCGTGCTGATGGATGCTTGATTACGTGTCTGGCCATCTGGACTGTTGTCACCGAGAGGCTTAATAAGAGTGTGTGTGTGTGTGTGTGTGTGTGTGTGTGTGTGTGTGTGTGTGTGTGTGTGTGTGTGTTGTGTGTGTGTGTGTGTGTGTGTGTGTGTGTGTGTGTGTGTGTGTGTGTGTGTGTGTGTGTGTGTGTGTGTGTGTGGTGTGTGTGTGTGTGTGTGTGTGTGTGTGTGTGTGTGTGTGTGTGTGTGTGTGTGTGTGTGTGTGTGTGTGTGTGTGTGTGTGTGTGTGTGTGTGTGTGTGTGTGTGTGTGTGTGTGTGTGTGGTGTGTGTGTGTGTGTGTGTGTGTGTGTGTGTGTGTGTGTGTGTGTGTGTGTGTGTGTGTGTGTGTGTGTGTGTGTGTGTGTGTGTGTGTATACACCTGGATTTCCCTGGACATGTGTGGACCTGTCTCTGTACATTGTTTCCGCATAAATCTGTGAAAATGCTAAATAGAACATGGCCATAGAAACAAATATGTACTCACAGGCAACACACACACACACACTTATCTACTTCGCCCCAACATAATCAGACATATCCAGACGCTATGCAGACACATCCCAGATCGGCCTCTCTAATCGTGGGTACATTTTAACAATTACTGCTAACAAGTCCTTATTACCCCCAGTGCCCTGCCCCTCCTCTTGATCCCAGCTTCTAATAGCTGCTGCTGTTTCTGAGCAGCTCTCTGCATAGTTATTAGACAGGAATCATGACAACCACAAAGCACAGAGCCCCCACCATGGAACAAAACTCACAGTTCACTGCCACTGCCACCAAACACCTGTGTTTCTAGGTTAGGAGTGTATGTATGTGTGTGGCTTGCTGTGTTTATATATGTGTGTATGCAGCACTTAAGAAGCTCCTGCTGACTGGGCGGTATGTTTATACTGTAGAAAACAGCCTGTCACACTCAAACACACACACACTAAAAACCTAGCTGTGCCTGGGCCGCCTACAAGATCACGTAATGACTGGCTGTAGGAAGAATCACCCAGCTTTGATGAGGAAGGATAGGGTGGATCCGCTGTCCTCCCCAGTATCTCCACTTTCAAGGGTCTGCAGTTAAAGGAGGGGGGGGGGGGGGTAGTAGAGCAGTGGCTCTCATATCACTGTGTTTGTGAGCAAGGCTTAAGTTTCACCACAGGAAGAAAGAAAGGAAGGTTTTGGACCATGACAGGGTTGACTCTGTCTCTGTGCAAGCAGATAAACTGTCACAAAAAATCAGGGGTAAACATATTTTTTCATTATTGTCCTAGTAGATTTGATCTGATATAAAGCATGAGCAATCCTCACATTGTCTAAGCCCATCTGATCTCAGACCACGATCCTGTCTCTGTCCCTCTTCATCACTTCCTCTCTTCAGCTCACCGCGAGGCTCTAGGTGTGGCATTGTCTGTCCGACAGTGAGTCAGTCCGTCACTTTGATCTGGACTGAATTTGAACTTTTGCACTTAGAACTTTTGAACAGAAAACTCAGGGTCCTCCATTGATGCATACAAATGACTTTGGTATAACTTTTCCTTCAGCAAAGACATGACGTTTTCAGTTGTGGTTTGAGTAAAATGAGTGAAACCACTACAGGATGGATTGCTATGAGACCTAGCACAACATTAATATTATACTCGGAGGTGGGAGAAGTACTCAGATCTTGTACTTGAGTAAAAGTAGAAGTACCCGAGTAAGTAAAGTAAGTAAGTAAGTAAAAGTCCTGCATTAAAAATGTTACTCAAGTAAAAGTAGAAAAGTATTAGCATCAAAATATGCTTAGAGCACCGAAAGTAAAAGATTGGCCCATTTCAGAATAATAATAATATATATGTTTTGATTATAATTATTGAGGCATTAAAGTGTTATCAAAGCTGGTAAAGGTGCAACTAGTTTGAGTGACTTTGTATACTGCAGGGTAGCTTGTGAATTTACTCCAGGTGTAACTAAAGTCTGATTTAAGAGTTGATTATATTCACATCATTAATCAAAATCTGCAAAGTAACTAAAGGAATTAAATAAATGTAGTGGAGTAAAAGTACACCATTTACCTGTGAACTGTAGTGGAGTAGAAGTACAAGGTAGCATTACATAGAAATACTTAAGTAAAGTACACGTACCTTAAGTAATTGTACTACTGTAGGTTAATTCCCACCTCTGGTTATACTGAGGATAAATTGCATTCATAAACTAATTCCATAACCGTTTTAGCCCCATCATCAGGTCTAACATGTTATTTGTCCAACTCTTATGAGGAAATACAGTATCTGCAAATATCTAGCCTCAGCCTTACTCAGTGTTTTGACTCCTTATGCTGAATATATTCTTTCCTTCTCTTCATTCTTCCAGAGGACCTGTTGCCATTCGGCTTCCCCAGTATAGACATGGGTCCCCAGCTGAAGGTGGTGGAGCGGACGCGGACGGCCACCATGCTGTGCGCTGCCAGCGGCATCCCCGACCCGGAGATCTCCTGGTTCAAAGACTTCCTGCCCGTGGACCCCTTCAGCAGCCAGGGTCGCATCAAACAGCTCCGATCAGGTGGGAGAGACAAGGAGTTATCAGATATTTGTATTCCAAAACCAGTAAACAGACACAGCATCTAAGGCTTAGCATCGCTATCAAGTAAAGTCCCTGTTGCTCTAAATTTGATGTTAATCATTTTTTAATTCTGATTGAGGGATTACATGCTCCTCTCTGAGTGGATCTACATCCTTGGGGGATATAAACCCTTTTTCAAGCCAATTTCATAAAAGGATAACTGTGTCGCTCTTAAGCCAAGAAAAATAAAATGCTGTTTTTATTAACTTTTAATTATTTTGGAGAAAGATTAGTATAAGATGATACTTTAAAGGCTCAAACCTCTTTATATTGTGAATCATAAAAGGAGCACACAATTTAAAAGAAAGGCAGATCTCGTATACACGTATTACAAGTGGGTTGAAAAAGTTTACACACAATTATAAAGCTAATCCACTTTGAAACTAATGCTTAATATAAAAATCAATCTACCCCATAACCACCATAATTCTCTTTTTCTCAAAATCAATAGATACAGATAGACATTTCTCCACATTAGGGATCTAACTGATGCTCCTCTTATCTTTAGACCCGCCTAGCCTAGAATTGTGTGAAATGAGCTGAATGTCTTCAAACCTGAATGGATCACTTTGCCAGAGACAGTAGTAGGAAGGAGGGAGGGAAGCAGAAAAGTGTCTCCGTGCAGACAGATGGAGGGAGGAACAGAAGAATCACAACTTGTGCTAAGGACAGTTTGTTCAGCTTTGTTTATGCTCTTCTGTATAGAATAGATGATACAGTGTCTCCCGGAGTAGGCAGAATCTTATTTTCTCAGTCTTTTCCACTCAGCCGTCCTCAGGGGGAATGAAAGTGATGGCGAGGCGAAACCATTTTGTTGTTGCTTTATCCATATTCTCTGTGCTCCTCCGTCCTGCCAGCTCTGATATCTGCCTGCTGTCAGCCAGAATTCCTCACTGATCACTCGCGCCCTCTGTCAACCTTGTGTTTGCAAATTAACTTGCACTTTTGCAATTTTTTGTTACGGTTTCTACACATGGACGCAGTTTACAATGACAACATTGCAAAATTGAACGTATCTCTTAGTAATCGGAATAATGGGTGATTTCACATAGAAGTGGACAAAAGCACGTTTTTCATAGCAAAGATCAAGATTCATAGCCAGCTCAAATGACAGCTGTATCTAGCAGATTTTTATCAGCTAGATAATTATTGCTTTCTCTTGGAGTTAGTTGGAAACCGTGTCTCCTGCTGAATCATAACTAGAAACTCATGAAACGGCTTCAAATATTCATTTCATGTTAACATATATTCTTTGCAAAGCTAAATGTCCAATTCAAAGTTAAGTAAGTAAAGCGAAAAGATATGGAAGTACAGGTGCAGTATTGTTTTGCATTGCAAGGAAGAGTGATTAGCCCTATTTAAGCAGCAGAGGAAATGTTTAAGCTTTTATGTTTATAATTTCACTTTTTATGAGCCAAATGAGTATACGTTTGGCATACATAATGCTATTACACCAGGTTTGGTCGGGCTTGCTCGAAAGCAATTGAATCCGATTATGAGAAGGATAGAGTCGTTACCTTTTGCCCAAACTCAGATACAGTGTCATCCATGTACAGTGGGTGAGACCTGGATGGGGCATTTTACAATGAACCGGTAAATGTAGCCCATTTTCTGTGCTGAGACAGTCCCACACCCTTTCCTAGTATAATTTCTAGTAACCTACTGATGTGTCAAAATGGATAATCACCGCTGTGATAAACAGAACACCTAAAGTGTAATTGCATCTGTGTAAAAAGCTCTGCAGTGGTTTTGGGTGGAATGTAGTCACCAGACAGTGTTGGTGCTGCACGATGCATGTGAGAAAATAGAAACTCTGTTTAAAACAAAACAAGAGAGAATTTTAAAGCTGCCCAGTGGAAACCTCAGGAACATGCCAGAAGGAGCAGTGTAGTGATCCATAATTGCGATAAACACTATGCAAATTATTCTCTATTCTCTGCTTGTAATTTATGAGAAAGCCTCGGTGGCCTTGGGGCAACAAAATAGCAATGAACCTCCCTCTCCATTCTTCTAGGAACAATAGTTTGTTTTCTTTTTATGTTTACCCTCTTAGTAGGAGCTGCAATATCATTGGTATACAGTATCTATCATGATAAGTTTCATCTCATTGCGTCCTCTGTAGGGTATCACAGAGACATGACACTGATTCACCGCTACAGAACGTGAGGCCACCTATCACATCAATGAAACAGTAGCAAGACAAATGGCTCAGTGAGATTCACCGCAGGGTTTAATAGGATTTCAAATCACCAAAAGCATCGCAAAGCTGAACAACAAAATGTGCTGTATAATGAACCAAACACTGCAGAGAAATGACTTGGAGGAAATCAATTACACCTGAGCTAGGCACAAAACAGCACGGAGATGTGTTATGGATGAAACCCTCCTTTAAAATCTGTTTAACGGGGGCACCTTCCAAGCGATGGCTCTGATTTAGTGGATGGCTGCCAGCTCGCGTTGGACTGCGGCCAGGGATTTGTTTTGGGCCACAATTACTGTTTGCTCTCTTCCTTTTTCTTTCTCTGTTGGGTCTTTGAAATATTGTTATGGCCCCTAAGGGTCAGGATGAAAAATGATATCAACAATGACTGCACTCGAATCCCGCAAAAGACGGCTTTTAGCCATTTCACAGCCCATAAGTATCCGTCACCTGTGGCGTCCTCCCACTGCAGGTAACTGTCCTATCGGCAGTTGTGAACACACACACATACTAATCCGTTTTCCTTAGGGTACAAAACATATAGCACAGAGAGTTAACCTTTTCACAAGATCTTTACGCCTCAACCAAGGCAGCTATCAATTTTTCCATGCCATCATGCCGCACCATTTTAGGTGTGCGTGAGGAGAGCCATGACAAGTTATCTGTCTGTCTCTGACATTTGGGACTGATATCTGGGAGTTTACTTAAGCACTCACAGCCTTCGCAGACCTACACTCTAACAGATGGCTCGCAATATGGACCCTGGGGTAGACTGCTGGGTAATGGATGGACCTGTCTCGGCCAAAAACTGCGATCTGATCAAAGGTTGTGGCCATGGTAACGGTCATGATTAGGTCAGGTGTATCTAAAGCAAACAGGAAAGTGATGTGAAAAGAAAGAATCTCTTTAGTTTCCTTAAAAAGGTTTTACACTGCAAATATTTGATTTCCCTTACAAATATTTTTGTTCAGGCATCCTTCAAACTGATGACTGTTTTTGTCTTTGGCAGGCTCTCTCGTCTTAAAATGAAGCCGGTGCATCATAAAATCTCTCAGCCACTGCAGTTATTTTTGTTCCTGTTTATTTGACATCTGTGTTTGAGATATCCTGCTGACTAATAGACAAACAATGACATTTGGCAGGAAGTTAGGACACTGGCCAAATAAACAAGTAATGGGTTTTTGGTGTAGATCCAGGATATAAAAAAAAAAGGATGTCTTAAATTAAAATGGCTGTATAGACTAATCCTTTTACAGATCATATTCAGTGACAGAAAATGTGGAGTTAAGTGGTTGCTGCTGAAATTGTTATACTATCTACTTGCTTACATAGTTTTATGAGATTTGTTATGAATTTCAAATAAAATTGGCACGAATAAATCAGCAAAGAATAAATACAGGGTAGCAACTTATTATTATTTTCACAATTATTTGATTATCAAAACTGTGAAAAACTGTCGCAGGTGCTATCCTGAAATGTCAGTCTCAAAGTTATATAATATTCAAGTTTCATTAGTATAATATAAGCCTTAAGCACTAGAGAATGCTCACACCTGATCACTAATAGCAAGTGTATATTTGTCAATTTGTGTGAAAGAAAATCCTTTAATTGCTGTTTTTTTATTTTCTCCCAATCCATTAATGGACTTATTTATTATCTTCTAAATGACTCACACCGTATGGCTGTATGGCTAACCTTAATTATTGTTTTTAATTGTCTTAGGGAAAACGTCCCAACAGTTTAATTTTCAATTGTGTTAAGTACATTGTGTTATGGTAAAAATAGCGACATTGTGTCTTAATTGTGATGACCCATTTTAAAGTGAATGTCCCCCTGGTGGGGGACCGGTGTCCAGGTGATCTGTTTGACCTAGATGTTCTGGCAGAGCTATCAGGTTAGCAGTATCTGTTGTCATCTGATCAGCCCAGCAGACATTAAACACCGTCCGCGATTTCACAGCAGCTCAATTTACTGAAGTCACATCTCATTCTGGGTCTGTCAGCAGCTCTCGCTCTTCCTCTCCGTTATCGTTCACTTTCCTTTTTACAGCTGTTTGTCCTGCTTTTCCTCTCCGACTGTGATTATATTTGTCCACTGCCTGTCCACGCTGTATGTATCAATGTGGTGACCTTTTGACGTGCATATATTCTGAACACCTGTCTCTTTCCATGTATGATAACAACACGGTTTGCATAAAAGAAGATTTCAATCGCCCATTTCAAATTAGTGCTGATGGTTAGCCATATGAGCCTCTTCCAGCTGTCAGATGAGTTCTTGTTTGCAGAGCTCCACCTGTCCAGCTCCATCTCTCCTCCGCTCTGTCTTTCCCTCTCTTCTCCTTCTGCCTCCACCTCTTTCTGGAGAGAAGGCTCTGCTTGTAGAGCAGATAATTTATTCCTGTTTATCTCCTAACTCTGCTCCGTACCGTGGGGAAATGAGAGATGGAAAAGTGGAGGGAAAGAGGAGGACACGAGCTGCTTTTCCTTTCATAGCTGCGGAAGACAGAAGCAAATGGATGACAGCTTCAGCTAGCGGGGCCTCAGCTCACAAACACAAAGAACGCATACTTGTGCCCTTTGCTAACAAGTCAAACTTTCCTCCTGTGAGCTTCCAAAAACATGTTCAAACTTCTGCATATACTGCTATTGTGTAAACTGTGTATCACACACACACACACACACCCACACCCACACGCGCACGCACGCACGCGCGCACACACACACACACACACACACACTGTCTCTCTCTGTGGAATCTTTTAGAGCTTAACTGGCCGGGTCTTTAAGAATTTATAATTAAAAGCTTTTTTTGCCATTAGGATAACACACTGTTTGTACGTGAATACAGTGCTGGAGAGCAGCTAATAGGTGGATTAACTTAAGTGTTAGATTTAGTAGTTGTAGAAAAATAACAAAAACAAGCAGCCAAATTACACCAACCAATATATTATGTATTTATTGTAATTGTTATATCTTGAGATATTCATTGTTTCTACTGCTAACAAAAGACAATACCATTGCGACAAATTCAGTTTTTGCTGTGATCGCAGTGAAATTCCCCTTAAAATGTGGGACTTAACACAACCAGTGTACAAATCCTACTAGCATGTTAATTAATGAATAATAATGCAGTTATATAACATATGTATGATGATTTTATAGTCTTAAAGAGACCGCTACGTATTATTATTTAATGTAGCCTATATTAGATCATTATACCTATAAACTGTTCTTTTTGTGACTCAGAAAGCTGTACTGATACTTCTAATTGAGTGTTTTTACCTTGTGGTATTGCTTCTTCTACTGAAGTAAAAAATCGGAACTTCTTTGACTTCTGTGTGTGTGTGTGAGAAAGTCAAGAGCATACTATATAGTCTGTTTCTTTTTATATCTCCATACAGCTCTTAGAAGTCAGAACCCTTTTATCTCACATGAGATCTGATACAAAACACTGTGCTTTGTGTCACTCTTAAACTAGCTGTGTGTGTGTGTGTGTGTGTGTCATCTGAGTTTTGACTTTTGTCTTTTTCCTCTCCTCCTGCAGAGTGTAATCCATGGTTTTGTGCTTCCTCCTCAGGCTTCATGTCAAAGTCAGTTTCAGATGAGATGAATATGCCAGAGCCAAAAGGAAAAAAAAAAACCTGCTGGTAATTCAAAAGAAAGAAAGGAAACTAAACAGAAGTAAGAATAGCACTCTCTGACACAGAATAATACCTGAGGAGCGTTGTGTGTAATTATAGCAGGTTCAGGGAGACACTGTTTATCAGGATGGGACCGGGATAGGAGTATAACAATTGAGGAAGTAAAAGAATGAAGTTGAGAAGTTGAGGTTGCTGCCGTCGGATAAATCTTGCAGAAAATGGAACAGACTTTCTTCATGGCAGCAGTGAGCCAGCTGCAGGAGAGAAATCATAGCTTATAAAACAAAAGGTCCTTCGGGTGTCATCTAAGTTTATAAAAAGTCATTTTGAGACTTGTATTCGGCTCCCTAACTTTTCGGAAGGAACTTTGAATGTGTTGCCATCATGCCGTGAAAAAGTAAATGGCTTTCTTAAAAATACTCCTGCTAGTTGAGAGCACAGCCAATTCAGACGCTTCCTCACAGATAAAACAACAAAGCTGACTTTATAGGAAGGAAGCAATAGAAAAAGAGCATACCCCAGGGTCAAAACATAACCGACAAACCTCAAAAAAGAGAGGATGCGGAGGAAGTCAGCAGAAATACATTGAGAAAAACTCATCCTAACATATTTTTCCTTTCTTCTTTTTCTCTATCTTTGTTGATTTCTGTCTTGCAGGAGCGCTACAGATCGAGAACAGCGAGGAAACGGACCAAGGGAAGTACGAGTGTGTGGCCACCAACTCTCAGGGCGTGCGCTACTCGTCCCCGGCCAACCTTTATGTGCGAGGTAGGACCTGAACCCAGAAACGCACAAGCACACACACACACGCACACGCACATTCAGACACACACACACGCACATACAGACACACACACACGCACATACAGACACACACACACGCACATACAGACACACACACACGCACATACAGACACACACACACGCACATACAGACATATTAAGGTGCACTTTGGATAATAATAAAGCCTTTTTCATGTCTATGCTTTTAAACAAGTATTACTAACCCATCCATTGTCTACAATATATGTTGACCTTGTTGTTTGCTATTTCTCACAATCACCCTTAACAAGTCCTCCTTAAACCTCGGTGCGAGCCCCCCCAGTGGGATCAAATTGAACATGGGGACACACCTTGGTTTAACTGCATGGAAACATCACTGACCTGTCTACTAAAATGGTTCTGTACAAGAGGCAGATTAAGAGGAAGATGATGCACAAGAGATGCACAGACTTGATTGGAGATTAGGATGAAATTGGAAAATATAAATTATTCTTAAATATGTTATCAATATTGGCGCCATTTTGCACCCACATGGTCCCTGTTTAACGGATAGTAGCCTCTGGACTGTGGGTGCTGGTGCATCACTGGCTTATTGCTGAAAGAACACGACCAAGAAGTTCTCGTTTCTATGTTAAGCTATTTAAGAAGTGTGTATGCAACGTGTGAGCGTTGGTGAGTGTGTGTGATGCAGTGGAGCGAGTGGCTTTGCGCTGGCCGTTTTTATTCTCTCTGTGTTTCCCCGTTCTCTCTCTCCCCCCTCACGTCATTGTGTACTGCATCAACCCCCTCTCATCCCTCAGAGCTTCGAGAAGGTTGGTGTGCTCTTTCTTTTCTTTTGTTACTCCTTTGTTTCAGAAAGCTTCACTTATTGAAACAGAGAGAAACAAAAAAGAAAAAAAAACGACATTTTAAGGACACCGGAGTAGATTTGAAGTGAAATGATATTGTCTCCAAAAATGAAGCGAGTTGATTTCTCTAAAGCTGCTACGGTGATGAAGTGGTCTGCCTACGCAGCAGAGTGCATTGACTGCATTGTGAGGCCTTGTGTGCAGAACCCTTGGTATTGCCTTCACTCCCCGATCAATGTTTTCTGCATGGTATGATCTTGTTGTCATGGAGACCCAAGAATTGGAAGATTAAAAGGAGCCGATGTTTGCATGGAAGGAGTGAGTGAGTGAGAGAGAAAGAGAAAGGAGCACCGCTTGCATGTCTGTTGACTGACAGACTGACACAGGAGCATGGCACCGTGTGTGTTCACACCTATTGATACGCTCGCATCGTGATATTATTGAACTTGCGGTCTTGTCTTGTCTGGCTGCTGACTGTTTATTTTTATTTATTTTTTCGAGCATCATGTGTTACATTGTGTCTCAGCTCCCATTCCATCACATCTGCTGCAGTCCTGCACTTGTTGCATTGAGTGGAAATGTTGCACTCGCACTCACGCTTTATATACAATTTGTGTTATATGTGCTGCGCAGGTTTTAAAATAAGCATCTTAGCCAGATTCATGCCATGAACCCCATATGATGAGAGAACCGTCACATCACCTGTAGTGGAGAGTAACTAATTATATTCACTCAAGCAATGAACTGACTATATACTATTGTTGCTAGTTCTTATAAAAACACTTTATAGCTCAAACTACGCAAAAGTATATGAAGTTCTTTACAAAAGCTCGAGTTTACCACTTACAACTATCAAATGAAATGTAAAAATTCATTGATCAATATTAATTTTGCAATTATAAAATATTTAATAGTACAATTCTCTTATTTGGTCAATTGTGACCCCTTTCTTACTTGTAGTTATATTGCAGAAAGTAAGTTAAAAAAAAAGTATAAAATGTATTTATACAAATTACTGTAGTATACCCCATTCCAAATAATGATTAAGATGTTTAGGTAACAGAGAAAAATATATACAAATTACATTTTAAAAATGAAATAAGGATGAGTTAAAGGTAGGGTAGGTAAGTTTGAGAAACCGGCTCGAGATCGCTAGAATTTGAAAATACACAACCGGAGAAAATCTGCCACTTCCTTACAGAGCCCCTCCTCCAACACACACGAACGCGCACATGACCAATGAGGGCACAAGATAAGTTTGTGCACAGATGGAAGGCTGACAGGCAGGTAGGCCATCCAGTTATTTTAGCCGGGCCGGCTAAAATGATTGGTCGTGCTTTTTACAGTACCACGGCTTCCACAGATGACATTTTTTTATGTATTTTTTGTCAAAGCACTTAATATATTCATTGCTCTCGGGATGTTAAGAGCATTCCATGCATTCCATAACAAAAAGTGTATCTCGAGCCGGTTTCTCAAACTTACCTACCCTACCTTTAAGGCGAGTGTCTTAAAGTATATGTCGTTTTTTTATTATAGTTTTTCCTGTGTCCCTTTTCCATCTCACATCAAACTGTTTAGCTTCATTGCTTTTACTTTACACCAATACTACAAATCACTTTTTAAACTTTTATAAATTACTTTTTTACAAGATTTATTGTCAGCCCAGGAATTGTAGTTGTCACAGAGTATTTTTCATGCTGTATTTCATCACCCTTAACTATCAATATATTATAGGTATAACAATATCCCAGCTGTAACACAGCCTGTGCTGTATCTCTGGCTGTTGCTATCTTCACCAAACACTCCGATACGGCTCTATTGACTGACATTTGAAATTAATCATACCCATTCTCATTTTTAGATATCGAGGGGATATTAATGATTCCCTCTTATTACAGTGGATAATGAAAGTGGTGTCCTTGAGACAGACTGGATGGTGCTGCGTAAATGTCAGCTCAGTGACGGTGCTGAACGGGTATAAGCAGAGCTGAGATGCAGCGGTAATCCTTATGGCTGTGCCAAGGTCTCTCTGCCTGTAGCCTCCAGACTCCCTGCAGAGGACGGGACTAATGATAGCCGCGCTAATAAAGATTGAAGCTCCTGGCTCTCACACACTGTATAGAAAATGGAGGGGAATCATGGGGCCCGGCTCGATGAACTTAAATCTAAAGGCTCTGAGAGCATGAGGAGGATTATCCCTTATTAGGAGCTCCCTTTATTGTAAGGTACTCGGCTTTGTCTCCGTCGTGGATTCGTCAGTCTCTTATTTTCTAAATTACTAACCAATCATCATGAGTCTTCACCTTCACCCTGTTGTTGCTCAAATTACTAAACAATTCCATATGCTTAATTATTGTGTTTTTTAAGTTGTTTTTTGTGTTGCTTATTGATGGGTTAGAATAACTGAATGGATTAAAGTTATTGTGATGTGTCATGCTGCCTTGCACCTGCTACTTGTCTGTCTGTCTGTCTGTCTGTCTGTCTGTCTGTCTGTCTGTCTGTCTGTCTGTCTGAACAGCATGCTCAGATGAGGAGATGCCTGCCTAATCATGTCTGTTTTCTAACAGATCTAACTGTTTTTGTCTCTTTGTCTCTTTCTTGTCTTCAACTTCTGTATCCAATTCTGGGTATCTTGCGACTATTTAAGTTTTGTTTCTTTAGCAATTTGTTGAAATCATGCAAAAAATGTTAACTTCTATCCAATTGTCTCTAGATTCTTTGAGTAGGGGGGAGTGGCCCATGAAGATTCCAAGTAATGATGTTACAGATTTAGGAGTGGAGGTTATGCAGCAAATGTACCCTTTTTTCTTTCTTTTTTTTACATTATTTATTTTAATTTCTTATATTATATATTTTAGAATTACTACTGGATTTTCAAGTAATAAAAAAAAAATCTAGGGTTTTTTAGAGTAACTTTTTTTGTTTTTGTACTAGAAGATGTGTTGTTTTATGCTTTATTATACGTAAAAGCTTCGTAGTGTTGAGTTGAGTTTCTGGACTATGTTTTCTGCTCTCTGTTTGCCTTCCCTTTCATTCTCTCTCTCGTGCAGAGATGTTTGTCCGTTACTCTCTCTGTCTCTTTCTATTTCCTGTGTTGTGACCCTGGGGTTTTTCTTCCTCTGTTCTCTAAACATCCGATCTCTCTCTGGTCTTTTTTCTCTTACTTTTGAAGCACCTTACTTTCTGAATGGGCCTGACTCTGGTATATAGCTGTTTTTAAATAGATCCATGTGTTTTCTTCTTCTCGCTCCTCTCTTCTTCCCCCTTTTTCCCTCCTTCCCCTAAAACCCTCTTCTAACCCTCTCTTTATCTCCACTTCCCTCCCTTTCCCCCCCCCTTTTTTTCTCTTCTTCCTCTGCATTCTGTCTGCACCCTGATGTGTAGGAGCGACAGACACATGTACATAAGTTTATTAACTTATAAACATGCACATACTACCTCACATATCTCTCTTTTTGCTCGCACTCGTTCTCTCCTGTTCTGCCTCTTCATGCTGTCTACGTGTTCTTTACTAAGTGTTGCCAATGATCACTCTGTAATTGCCACAACACCCTTTTAGAACCCCTTAAACCACTCCTGTCCACATTTCCAATTCATTTGATTACACACTGTATCAGTTATGAATCCTATGTATTGTACAGTATCTTGTTGTACAATGTGGCTGTCTTTTGCTACATTGCCTGTCATTGTCTGGAAGAGAAGCAGAGCTGCCTCTTTCTTTCTGTCTCTATCTTTCTTTCTCTCTATCTGTACTTATTCTATCCCTCTGTCTCTCCTGCTCTTGTCTGGCTTTTCTCTCCTCTCAGTCTTCAGTTCTTCGTTCTCTTCTTTGTGTTTCTCCACCATTTTATCCCTCTTGAGTCGCCCAGGCATGCAAGTGACCTATGAGTTCAGTCTCTCGATACATTTCTCCCTAATATATAGCCAACCAAGCTCCGGCAGATGCAGTATTGGATATAACTTGGCCCTTTAGTTGTTCTTCTTATGGGCACACAAATAGCTGGCAGGGCCTATTGATCGGCCCCCATGATGCATACACTCTTTAAAAAGAGCCCATATAATTCACAAGCTCCTCGAGGCACAGAAATCTCAATGAAGTGAAGTTTTTCACTGACATTTCTGGTGAAGTTGAACTGGTTTAGTCACTGCTTGGAGGAGGATTTTTAATGGTAATACAAATATATACTGAAAAACCTGAATCAGAAGGTTTTACTTTTCTGCTTAACTAAATGATAACCAATAAGAAAACCATTTATTTTATGAGAAACTGACTATAGGTGTCATGTCCTGGTTGAATTGATACTCAAGAGTGTGTCACTATATTATTTGTTAGGCAGCTCACTGAATGGTCGAGCTCAACACTAGATTTGTGTCTTTCTGTTTGAATCATCAGTACCATAAAGTAATTGGGACTAAACTTGAAATATCCCTTTGTAATTTTCTGTAAAAACCCTGAAGTTCATTCTCCCCCTTCCTGTTACCTCTCCTCTCTTTCCTCTCTCTTTTTATCTTTCTGGCCCTTACTTTCTCTCTCAATCTCCATCTTGCTTTCTGCCTGGCTCTCTTTTTTCTCTCTCTCTCACTCCCCCTCCCCCCTCCTTCTTTTTCTCTGCCTTTCTTCTCCTCACTCCCTTCCCCACTTTTCTTGAACCCCAACCTCACCCCCCAAACCCCCCCCCCCTTCCTTTTCTACCCCGACTCTCCTCCTTTCCCAGTGCGCCGTGTGCCCCCTCGTTTCTCCATCCTCCCCTCCAACCATGAGATCATGCCAGGAGGGAGCGTCAACATCACCTGTGTGGCCGTGGGTTCGCCCATGCCCTACGTCAAGTGGATGCTGGGCACCGAGGACCTGACCACGGAGGACGAGATGCCCATCGGACGCAACGTGCTGGAGCTCAACGGAGTCCGAGAGTCTGCAAACTACACCTGTGTGGCCATGAGCAGCCTGGGTATCATCGAGGCCACCGCTCAGGTCTTAGTGAAGAGTAAGAGCCGCTCCAGTGACACAATTAATCATGTCGGCCCTCAGAGAGAGAAAACTGTTTGGAAAAAGTGCCTCCGTTTTTACTTTGTTGTGTAAAAGAGACACTTTTTATTTGATAAACAGTATGTTTTTAAAATGTGTGCATGTCAAATATCACTTCTGCCAAGCTAATCTGCGCCGTAATTTCATGAACAATTTTTCATATTAAATATAATTAAGGCAACCCTATTATTATGAGGGCATTTAGTATACTGTCATTGAACGAAAATACACCCCCTCTCTTACACAATTAGTTTGGCCATTGGTTGCTTTGGTCTTATAAGATACCTCAGTTCATTTGTTCATAATACATTTGTACACATGTGTGATTAACACAACAATTTCAGTGGTGCTTTTTGCAGGATCTTTGTGGACAGACTAAGTTTTACGAATTTGATAATATCAACGAATAAGTTAGTCGACAAAACTGTTGATTGTTAGTCTACGAAGAACCAGTATAGTTGAGGATAGCCCTGTTCTCATGTCAATAGTTTATTCTCAAAAAGTTATTTTAGATTATACTAAATGTAACTTTGTCATTTCACACAGTGAGTACTTGTTCAACAAAATGCAGTCTAGTATCATAGATACATGCATATTTGGTATAATATTTATAAAGTACAGATAAGTAGGATGAGATATCACTGAGATATTTACAAATAAACAGAACAATGTACAAATGGACAAAAAACAATACATAGTAAAATGTAATTCTCTTCCTCTTGCCTCTCTCTAATCCCCAGCTTTGCCAAAGCCTCCTGGTACCCCCATAGTCACAGAGACCACCGCCACCAGTGTGACCATCACCTGGGACTCTGGAAACCCAGACCCCGTCTCCTACTACATCATCCAGTACCGAGCCAAGGGGCCGGACAGCAAGTACGAGACGGTGGACAGCATCACCACCACCCGCTACAGCATCGGGGGGCTCTACCCCAACACTGAGTATGAAATCAGAGTGTCGGCCTTCAATAGCATCGGCCAGGGCCCCTCCTCTACTCGTGTGGATGCCCGCACAGGGGAGCAGGCCCCGGCCAGCCCGCCCCGAAACGTCCAGGCACACATTATATCTCAGAACACTGTGATGGTCCGCTGGGAGGAGCCGGAGGAACCCAATGGACAGGTGGGTGGAGGACTGACCCTTTTATCATTTTGATCTGTTATCAGTCATAGAAAACAAACATTTACATTTTCCTGCCGAACAGAAAAAACGTTCTTAACTTGGTGATCAAATTCACTGGTGATCAACTAAAATCCTGTCTGTTCTGGAAAAAACTGCTTTGGCTGTCCAGATATCAGATTTCACTACATGACCAAGAGAATTCACAATAACAATATTATAACGATATCTATAGTAATTTAAAAAGTAAAAGTGTGGGCAAGATACTAAACCCATAAATAGCTCCCGAAGGCACAGCTATTGGTGTGTGACTGTGTGTAAATGAGCATTAGATTAGATGATGAGCAGTTTGGCCCCTTTTTATGGCAGCGCTGCCATCAGAGTGTGTGTGTGTGTGTGTGTTTGTGAATGTTGGCTTGTAGTGTACACACACTGAGCGCCAAAATAATAAAGTCCATCTACCATTTAAGTCTATTGGAAGACATGCAACATTCAGTGAATATGATCATCAAGTTCCTAATTTTTTACATTCTTTACTATTTATCACTACAATTTAACATTAAAATATGGTCATGCCTTTGTGCTTGTGTTTGCTGTTCTCCTGCTGCACAATGATTTGGCATTGGGGGGCTCCTACAGTGATTGATTAAAGGAAACATTCTAGTCTTTTCAAACTGAATGACCTTTACCCTCTCGTACTATGCACTGTCAACATTTCAAAATTCGCAAAGGCTCACAGGAGGTTAAAACGTTTAAGCCTTAATAAAATTCACCATTGGGAGCTTTTTGTCCAGTGTGCAGGTTCATGTCCTTTGCAGGGATTGTGTCTTGCCAGAGATTTCCCTTCTGTAACTCCCTCGCTACTTTCCCACCTTCTAAAGAAAGAAAAGGTAATTGGACTGTCTGCTCTAAGTTAAGAGCAATCCCTCTTGAGACCTATTTCCTTTTCTAGCCTATAACTGTATATGGGTTCATAAAAATGCAAGACTTTTGAGGGTGGGGATTATAGATATTAAAGAGTAATACCATGAGAGGTGATGGAGGTGGAGAGTAAGGGCATGGCAGCAGGATTACATCTCAATACCAATAAACAAATCCCACTGGACGGTTAGGGGAGGTACAGTGATTATATTTTACGCTTTACTATATGAAGGCTTGTATTGGAGCTGGTGTTGTCAACTTTAGAGTGAGATTAGTTTATCAGGGTCAACTGCGCAACAGATGTGGGGAAACCACCTTGTGACAATGACCTCTGCTAAACACTGAACCAACAAATCCACAAGACCATCTGGACCTAAGTAGAAAACAGAGGTGATGACCTTAGCTGTGAGAAATGATGGCTTTGGTATGAAAGATGGTATTATGGATCATTATGGGTGGAACATCATTTAATACAGTACAGTCACTCATAACCTTACAATACAGTGCAAATCCAGAAACTCTCCATCTAGAGGCCTTTCTCAATTCAATTGAATACTCTTTATTGGCATGAAGGACAATATTGCCAAAAGTGTCTAGCAATACTGAGAAGACGGAGAAAAATAATTAAGAAAATATCAGAAAAACAATAAACCTTTGCTCTGTGAGAATGTTTGTGAGAGACTGAAGTGTATTCATGTTAAGGTAGGACATATTAAAAAGTAACGATAATAATAATAATACAAATAGTAACAACAACAACAATGAAAAAATAATCTTTATTTAAGATTTATATGAGCAAAATGTAATCAATAAATTACAAATCACATACTATAGTCAATTCAAATAATAAAAAGATAAGTAGGCATACCATCTAGGTTAACTAATATAATACAAAAGATAATAATAATATAGAAGTCAATATCATTTTGGGTTTCTTTCCTTGAATTGGATGATTTTCCTGCAATAATCTTGCATTTTCCCTGCTCATTATGTTATGTTTTTAAATTCAGGGTGTATTTAATTATTTTGGGAAAATGTGTATTTCTTACACTCTGGTTTCGGGGTTAGGGTTAGATTCTCTCCTTGCTTCCAGCAATGTTTACCTCAACCTTCCTCGATTGTAAGGCTATGCTTGCGGAGTCTGTCAATAAATCATTGCTTTTCTTAATATTTACCGTGGTCAGCTATTTTGATAATGTAACGTCTCTTTTGAGGGTCGGATACCATTAGAGTTGACACTGTGTTTTAGTTGTTTAACTGTTTTCTCTATATTTTAGGTGAAAGGATATCGTGTGTACTACACCATGGAACCGTCCCGGCCTATGAATGAGTGGCAGATCCATAACGTCCAGGACAGCGTGATCACCACCATCCAGAACCTGGTGACCTCGGAGACGTACACCATCCAGGTCCTCGCCTTCACCTCTGTAGGAGACGGACCCTTCTCAGACCCCGTCCATGTTAAAGTTATGCCTGGAGGTGCGTGAATGTGTGTCTGTAAAACCTAATCATCGGTAGCTGTTTGTGCATGCTGGTGCATGAATAACGGCTAACTAGTGGTCTTTAATATTCATGTGCAGGAGGTTAGTTTTGTTTGTTTTTCAGATGTGCACATGCAACAGAGCACAAATGACTCATTATTTGTGTGTGTGTGTTAACAAAGATAAGTAGCTTATTTGGGTGTATGTAAAGTTTGTGAGTCAATCCTCTGTGATTTGCTTAGCAAATAACCTGTCAGGAAATATGGCTACTTCAAACAGAATAAATTGTACCTGCTGGGACAGAAGTGTGGAGAATCATGAAAAGAAAGCGGGGATTAATACCCGAAAATGTCCCTCTTACCTCAGCGCTGTCCGTGTCACTGCGACAGCTGCTGTGAAGTGGCCGGTTTAATGTGTTGGGAGGGACAACAGATAATTACTGTGATGGTATTACTGTTTTAATTTCCATGTAGCCTGCATCAGATGTCTGTTAAAAGTCTTCAATTTTCCAGCATACAAAAGGAAAGAGATTATATTTAAAAGGCATGAAAAGACATAGGTTTTAAAGATTTATGGATCAATGGGTGTCCAGTATAACATTAATAATTAGTACAACATGTTTTATTCAACTTAAAATACCTGAGGTCAGGTTAAAGTAAGGCAAAACAACCATGCTTAGTAATACATTATATATATATGTCAACACTATAAAACGAAACTGCACACCCACACAGTCTCCAACAGGTTTGATCAGGTTTGATCAGCTTTGACTGACGGTGACATTTCCCTTGAAACATATTTCCCATTCTTATACTAATAGTATTGATGTCAACACCTTATTTCAGAAGAATAGCACTTATCCAAACACAGTAAGTGCTTTTCAAAACAAAGCAAGACATAAAGAAATGACATGTATATAGACTTTTTGCACTACTTTTTATTTTGTATTTTTATATTTTATTATATATGTTGCATTGTTGGAGGAGCTCAGGTCAGAAGAATTGCATTGCCATTTCTACACTGTAGCTTTGTGCATATGACAATAAAACCTTTGAATCTTGAAAATGAAAAAGAAAAACACCAGGGCTGAAGTCGAATAGTCCATTTAGCTTAGGAACCTTCCTAACGGAGTGAAATGACCCGGAAGCCCCTCAGTGGCAGCCATGATAAGTGCCGTTCGAATTCTCTAGATGATAGGAAAGGAGGTTTCAAACTTCCTTTAAAACCTCCTTTAGCTTAGGAACCACTGGACCTCCCTTTACGAAAGGAAAGAAGAAAATGCTGCCCCACAATGCCTTGCAGCCGCAGCATTTGCCGTCACACAACAGTCGGCCGTTCACGGAAACAACCGATTATGAACGAGAAATTATATCATGAAAGTTACGGTGCTTATTAAGCTTTTTAAAACGTATGTGGTAACTTTCCAAAATGCTTTGTTTTGAACGTTCATCAGTATTATAATCAAAAAGAGAAATATGAACGTTAGTTTTTACTGAAATGATCAAATAAAGTCAACATTTCACAGTCTTTACTGAGCTGTGTGGGGTTTGTTCAACTTTTAAGATGTTTGAATGGTGATATACACAGTGATAGATGTTAAGGACTAACGTTTATAATAAATACATTTGTATTGATTTTAATATCTTTTCATACAATCATACGTAGGCTATTGGGATCATTTGTATTAATGTGGACCGGAGGGAGAGGGTGACGAGCATAAGTTTCACTTTCCTTTTTTATTTCAATTCCAACTTTGGTCATGAAGAATATGTTTCTCTGTTGTCCCCGTTCATAAAGCATAAAACAACAGCATCAGAGCACGGTGCAGAGTCTCTAGATGAGTTTACAGTAGTCCCTCGTTCTTATTAAACATCCATGTTGTAGTCCGCTGTATAGAAAACTGTAGTTTCCATAGTTTCCCCACAGCAGCAGACGCACATTTATGACGTCCGCTGGCGCATCATAAACACGTCGGATAGTGAAAGTGCAGTCGGATTCTAAGTACCGCAGTCTCTGCTCCTAAGTCCTTTTGAATTCTCCTATCCACTATCCCTTAACCCCGTGACGTTTCACTCAGAGGTCAAGGGATAGACGATAGGGTTAGACGTTAGGAGCTGATTTTTGGATTATACGACCGCAACCCAGGTAAAACAGAACACAATAAAAAGCTTTTAAATAAGAAAACCTTCCAGTAAAATCGTTTTTTTAAGAAGTAACTCTAAAGATGTATTTTTGGAGTATTATGTGAAATAAACAGTATCACTAAAACTTTGGCAGATCATAATATTATAGTATATGGTAGTAAAAAGATTATAAATACACTTTTTTTGAAGGACCTTTCAGTGCAAAACCAAAGTGCACAAGACTTCAAAAGAATCTGATAAAGATAACCCAAACTCCTGTCTGACTCTTTTGTCCTGTCTCCTTCAGTCCCAGGCCAACCGGGGAAGTTTAAAGTCAATAAGGTGGCCGACACACACATTGAGCTGACCTGGGAACCTGCCTACACAAAGGAGGGCATCGTCAACTATGAACTGCTCTACAGACCTGTCAAGTTTGGCAGCTTGGTAAGACCCCTAACTCTCTTTTTATAAACCTTTCTGCCGAGCGGATTGAGAGGACCGATAAAAGAAGGAAGTTTAAAAGATTAACCCCAGCGTTCAGCGCCTCTGAGTCTGCTGGTGACAGTCTCATCTCTTTTGATAATTTATTTCTCACTCATCCCAACCTCTTGTCCTGTCCTCTGCTCCTCTTTCTTCCCTCTCATAGGAGAAGCTGACATTCGGGCCGAGGAGTTCGTACACAGTGGAGGGTCTGAAAGCCAACACAGAGTACTCCTTCTCCCTGGCCGCCATCTCAAACAAAGGCATCGGAGCTTTCACCAACGAACTGGTGCAGAGGACATTACAAGCCAGTACGTCTCAATTTGATTGTGTCCACCTGCTTTACCTGCAGGGATGCACAGATGCCACACATGTAAATTGTATTGTGTTTCAGTCATGTGAACAAATCCAATGCAAATATTTTGTCCTCTACACCAACACACACAGGTTACAATACATCAGATCCTGACCTGGTAAAATCTGGGACCCCATCTTCAAATCTCTCCATCTATCTCGTTTATCAACCCCACCTCTCATTCATCCATCTAAGTGTGCCTTTCTTCCTCCCCCTCAGCCTCTCGCTTTCTTACACAGCCAACACATCATGACAGATGGAGATGGAGCAACGATTAATGTTACACTCTTCCTTCTTTCACCTTCCTTTCACTTTTTCCACTCTATCGGTGTCTAATGTCTTTGAAAGGACGAAACTGTCTGCCACTTATTGGCTAGCAGCCAGAAGTGAGCCGCATTAAGGATGGTGGCTGGCTTGCAGTGTTGTCAGGTAAGTGTCAGCCAGTCTGTATTTTATCTGAACATGGATTCTTTTTCTCAATTTTTCTCTGCACACTGATACCTGATAAGGGTCAAATAAGGTCTACTTCTTTTCCCTGACATATCGAGGCATTTCATATCTTCCAACAAGAAGAAAATGCAGAGAAAAATTGAGATACAAGAGAAAGAATACATTAAGTCGAGAAAAAAGGAAGCCCTTCAGTTCATGGTGGCTCTCGCCTCAGCGGTAAGTTTTTGGCAAGTATTAACAATCACTTACAGACACACAGATTCATACTGGGTGTTCACAATCGGTACAAATAGAGCTAAACACTTTTAGCGGGTCTCTTTTCACCCCCAAAAAGAAAGAGACCTATAGTTGGAAAGGGAAGGTGCCAGATAAGCAGACTATTTCATGCAGCAGAATTCATTTCCCTGGGAGGTTATGTGCGCTTTGTTATCGCCAAGCTTTGGTGCACATCTAGATTGTCCCCCGAGGCTAACAGAACAGTGGCTGTACGGCTGAGTGGATAGATACTTGAACCTGTCAGCTATGACTATTACACTCCCACACATACACACATGCTATACACTCCCAGACACACACAAGACTGTGCTCAGCGCTGTGTGGTTCTGTGCGCTCGCTCTATAAGTAACATTATATAGGGTGAGTGATACCCACAGTTCAGATCTGTGATGATAAAGGTGTGTGATTCTTGGCTTCCTTTCTGTACTTGTTTGTAACAGTAAATATCCTAGCCTACTTCTGATTCAATTATTGTCCGCAATTTATCATTCTTACCTGACTTTCAATATCCGAGTGCCTTTCTCTCCCAGGCTCCTGGTCTTTTTCGTTTTTCTTTTCTAAACCTGCCTCCTAAATCCTTTCAGCGCTGTATGAGATCTGTTTTAGTTTTTTTTTTTTCTTCCTTTTGTAAAGCCCAAAACCTTCTCCTAGTCAGCAGTGGAAAGTCTCAAACCACTCTATTACCCCGAGGACTCAGGGATTATGCCACCATGGGGGGGCTGATGTTGTGAATTGTGTGTATTTGTCTGTTCTCCTTTTCACTGAGCTTAACATCCTCACTTCAGAAAGAAAGACTTATCTGTTTGATTCACAAATCTGAGTTCCTTTTCTTCTACTTGCTATGGCTAAAGGATCAAATATAATCATCGGGTATCGGATGCACATTTTCCTTGGGTATAATTAAGTTGTCCACTCAGGGTCGATACTGGTGTCTCTGGTTTATTTCATTAGTCTCTTAGTCTAACATTATGCTTTTACATTATGTGGTTGCTTCCATTTTGTGCCTCTCTTGTTTCCCCGGCATAACAGTTCACCTTAGTTTTTATTGTTTCCATTTTTATCCTTATCTCTTGCTTTTTCAACCCCATTCTCTTGGGTCTTTCCTAAACTCTTTACCCTCCTCGCCCCTTGTCCAATCAGAGCCCTCAGCAGCACCTGAGGGTGTGTCCTGCGAGAGTGCCAGCTCCAGCTCGCTGAGAGTTAGTTGGAGGCCGCCTCCAATGGAGGGTCACAATGGAGAGTTGGCAGGTTATGAGCTGAGATACCAGAGGGTTTCTGGGGCAGGAGGCGGAGGTCAGGGCCAGGAGGGGAAGGGGCTTCCTATCCCCGCCCTGCAGGGGGAGACAGTGCTAGAGGGGCTGGAGAAATGGAGCTGGTACAACATCTCCATGGCAGCCTTCACTGCAGAGGGGACTGGACCCAAAAGCCTCGCTGTGATCTGCAGAACTAATGAGGACGGTAAGAGTGTGAGCCATAGATCAGACCTAAACAGTATTGATTGTGTAGTTGATTATTTACTGGCTCGACTGTTGGTCACTTCATTCATTCTGCATTTGTGTGTGCTTAGTTCCTGGTGCAGCCCCTCGTCAGGTGGACCTCCAGCCGCTCAACTCCACAGCGATCAGAGCCACTTGGAGGTCTGTGTTGCCACGGTTACGGCAAGGCCAAATCCGTGGCTACCAAGTTCATTTCGGCCGTGCTGAGAGCGGTGAATCACGAAACCTTCCCCGCATTAAAGACCTCTTATTGGACGAGTCCCAGGTGAAGTCATAACTGAATTAATTAAATATTTTAATTTATTATATAATTTAACATTCTCCCTCACACCTTTTTGTTTTCTGTCCTTTGACTCACTCCCTCTCTCATCCGTCTTGGCTGCCTGCTGGGTGTGTCTCATCTGTTGGATAAGATGGAGGAGGATGACTCGACTCAATATGTGAGTGCAGACAACCCATCGGCTCTTTATTATGAATGAATGCACTATTATAGCGCAATGCATCCAATACATTACACAGAGACAATTTGACCACTGGAGATTTGTTTAGCCAATGCATAACTATAAAGAAAGTGAAGCAAGAGGTCTGTGTGTTGTCTCATATTAAAAGTAATAAGTTGCCAGTATTTAATAGTTCTGTTATGTGTGTTCCCCCACAGGAGCTCATTTTAGAAAGTCTGAAAGCAGAGACTTTCTACTCCATCTCGGTGGCAGCGTACACCACCAAAGGGGATGGAGCGCACAGCAAAGCAAAGCTGGTGCAGACCCTGGGGATTGGTAAGCATATGCCAAGTATACAGTTCAGTGCAATTGATTGAGTAACGCACTGTACTTAAAATCCTCCATTAAGCTGTACCAGCAGGCAGTAAATAAACAGCTAAATCAATTCGAATTCTTCCACAACATTTTACATGATCTACGTTTTATATATACATTACAATTTGTTGTTGTTGTTGTTTGCAGTGCCCGGCTCCCCCTCCCTTTGGGTGCATCCAGGATCTGGTCCGTCAGTGGTGGTGCGGTGGGCTCCTCCAGTGGAGTGCTCTGATAGCCGGGGGGCTCCGCTGGAAATCAGGGGTTACCGCCTGCAGTTTGGCCTAAAGAATACTTCCTTAGACACCACAGTGAATTTCACAAATCGCGAGAGAAACGTCACTATCAGAAACCTCTCCCCGGGGTCCTCCTACGTCTTTCTTCTCTCTGCTAAGAGCCGAGCAGGATACGGAGACGTAGTGCAGCAGGAGATAAAAGTTCCCATGTTCCCACCCTTGGGATACCCAAAAATAATTGACTTTGTTAATGCCACTTGCTGCTCCCTCCAGTTCTCCTGGTTGCCCCTTGCCCAGGAAGAGTGCAATGGTGACATCACAGAGTACACCTTATCGTACAGAGAAGCCACGGCCCCCAAACCCTCTGCCGACCCCGGCCCGTCAGCAGTACCAGCCCCTACTGCCCCCCCTTGGCTGATCACGCTGCCAGCGAGTGAATTCCGCTTCACCATCCTGGGCCTCAATCACAGCACAGCCTACGTGGTGCAGCTAAGAGCCCACAACAAGGCGGGGCCAGGCCCCTTCAGCCCACCTCTGGTGAGCCGAACCCTGGCCTTTGAAACAGGTAGGGCTGGCCTCAGGCCTAAGCACTGGTTCAGCTTCACATCTCCGCTCCCTTTACTGTGGATTTCACTACAAACCACTAAACTAAATGAAGTCTGGGCCAGTTCTTACAGGTTGGCCATTCACCTGTGAACCTCGGAGAGGCCGAGAACTGCAAAGTCCAGGGGAACACGACTACTCCCCCCCCCAATCTCCTCCACTCACTCACTTATACCTTCATCACCTACCCTTCACCACCAGTGGAAGCAGGCTGAATGTTAATGGATGTTTGCTTCAAGAGCACTGCTTATCACAAACCCTCAGGTAAAAGTCAATGCAGGACTTGATATACAGCTTCTTTTTTGGAAGGTAAGTGTTCAGTCTGAATTCAGGGGGGAAACTGGTCTGGTGCTGTATCTGCAGGTAAGCTTCTTTTTTATCTGATAGACCTCCACTTCCACCTTTTCCAAAGCCTTTGCTGACATGCTGAATCTGAGTCTAACAAACACAACCTTACACTCTGAGAATGTGGCATGTCACATTACTCTGTCTGAATGTTATTTCTACTGTAACTCTTACCATTCACTCTCCTCATCACCTGCCCATTCTCCTTACCATCATGCAATGCATACTTCTCCGAGTAACACATCTGACTGACATTTACATTTTTACAGGTTTGCAGTAGGAAAGCAGCGGGGGGGATGCTGGTTTAAATAAAATGCTTCATCATGTGTGACGCCGTTTTTCTTGGTTCTCCTTCCTTCCCCAGATGTGCCGAGGAATTTTTCCGTCAATCTGGCCACTAAGACCAGTGTTCTGCTGACCTGGGAGTTTCCAGAGAGCAGCAACCCCTATCGCTTTACGGTATGTCGATGGCGTGTGCATGTACCTGTGTGGTGCCGTATGTCTAAGATTATGTTTTAATAAATTATAAATACCGTAATATCTTTGGATACTGTCGGTTAAAATACCTCACAATATTATAGATTTGAACAATACCTTGAACTTGAACAATACCCGCAACTGTGGAAGTGTTTTTTTACCACCCGTTGTTTTACCTGTGGGGGGCTGGCTTTATGCAGAATTTAAGAACAATGAAAAGTAACATTGAAATAAACATGTATTATACTAAAATATGACAACTAGTACCTGCAAAACTCACACTTTAACACATTAAATTCCAGTCTTTGTGCTTAGCCAAGCCTAGACATGTGCGGTACATATTTTCTCATCCAACTCCAAGATTTTCTAATAACCATATCTCCCAAAAATGTCAATCATGGTTAAGGTGGGGGAATTTGACAGTGCAAAATTGTTTTACATCCTTGAGACTTTAAAATAGAAATTGAAAATAGGTTAATTTCCAGGATAAACTGATACAAATGTACAGTCTATAAACATACAGTACATTATACAAACAGCCATATTTGCCTTTACCTATTGTTCTCACCTTCTCCCTTCCTCCAGGTGGAGTATAACAGACAGAAGATGGAGGTGGACGCTCGTCTGAAAAAGGCTGTCATCCCAAACCTTCAGCCTGACACGAGCTACGACTTTAAGATCACGGCTCCGGAGGGAAACATGGGCGGCCTTCGCCATCGCATCTCCGCCAAGACTTCCCCACCAATTACTATCCGCCGCCCTGAAATTGACCACACCCGTGACACCGAGACCACCGTCACCATAATCCTGCCGTCGCTGGAGAATCGCTCCCCCGTCAAGTAAGATAGAGTTAAAGATGTTGGTATAAAAAAAGTTGGCCTTCCTAGACTTGCTGCACTCAGGTCAGATGATATCTAAAGGTGTGGGGCATGATGATAACACCACATAACCTATCCGACAAGATGTTGAAAATACAGTCTTTATTGTCAAGACCTCGTGAAAGTAGTTAGACATGTTTCCTTTTGTACCAGTGCACCTGGTGTTATGTTGTTTTTCCTCCTCTGCACCCACAGGAACGTGTATGTTGTCGTGGTTCCACTGAGGAGAGCCCGCGGCGTCATCAGACACCTCAAGAGTCCAGATGAAATGGACCTAGAGGAGGTGAGAACCACAACAATGACAGCACCCTCTGATGTATATTCCTGGGAGAAGGAAAAGACCCATAAACTCACACACAATAAGATTTGATGAGGATTCTGGCAGCAATTACCCTTTCTGATTCCATATCAGTGTTTAAACATTAGTCATTGGTATTGGAACGTCTCATTTTTCCTGTTTGTGTCTTCCCCTCACTCTGTTTCTCCTCTCGCCATCTCTCAGCTGTTAAAAGACATCAGTCAAAAGCAGAAAGATTCTCGGCAGCAGAAGCAGGTGGACCTGCGGCGGGCTTACATAACGGCCCGTTTCACACCTGCCACGCTGCCGGCCTTCTTCACCCTGGGGGACCAGCTGGACTACGGGGGCTTTGAGAACCGAGCTCTGGAGGCGGGGCAGGAGTACGTCTTCTTCATCCTGGCCGAGCTCAACTCCACAACGGGGGTACGAGAGCCACCGTTTCACTTCTCCTTTGCTTCTGCGTTTATAACCACTCCCTCATTCCTCGCTGCCTGTGTTTTTCTGCTGCAGGCTGTCACTATACATTCTAATCAATACGGCCTCGCTGCTAAAACAATAAAATGCACGTCAGTCAAAGTGTTGTAAGCAAAAGGCAATAACCTTCACGTACTTCCATCACCTCTGCTAATAAAGAGTGAGTGTACCTACTGTGGCAGTGGAAGAGATATTGCCTTGTGCACTGCACTGGACCGTATATATGTGCATTTGAATTTAAAACAATTGTAAATATATGACTTGAATTAGGATAGATTTTATTTTGTATTAGATGTGTTTTATTTTTAAGACTTAGCCTAGGGGAGGCTCTTCAAAAGTCCGTTAGAACTAATAAAAATGCACTTTATTCAGTTTATTGCAGTTATATATACTGTGAGTAAGATCAGGTGGATCCTTTTTTGTGTCGTCTAAAATGCAGAGACAGCGAATATTATCTCACATGCACATAAAACCAGTCGTGCAGCAGCCTGGTCACAATGACAGGAATGTCCTCTCAATCTAATGCAATCGAGTGCAACGGCTCATTACTGAGGTGCAGGGTTACGCTTTGTAAAGACTTGGAGAAAGAGCTATGGCACTGATGCTTTTCAAGGCTATTGTGTGTTTAGTTTTTGCAATTATAATTTTTTTGTGCCATGCCCTCATGTTCGTTTTTCCAATGAGATAAAAAAAAATAAACACTTTTCCAGTTTCTTGTTTTTCTGACTATATGCCTGTGTGTTTGTTTACAGAAAATGTACGTGGCGAGCCCCTACACAGACCCTGTGATTGCCCCAGATTCAGACCCCCAGCCCCTCGATGCAGGCGACGGTCTGATCTGGGTGGTTGGACCCGTCCTGGCTGTGGTCTTCATCATCTGCATTGTCATTGCTATCCTCCTTTACAAAAAGTGAGTGGGAAGTGATTCTCCCCGAGCCCATATTTACCCTGAATGTAATATATACTTTCAAGGGTAAAAAGATAAATAAGTTCTATCAAGCTTCGACTTAACAGACAATGTGTTTTAGTACTGTAAGACCAATTAATTCTTAGTTGTCTGTTGGGAGTATTTTTTACAATAATTAAAACACATTTAATATTTCAGCCTTTTCTTTTAAGATTCATTACCTTTCTATCTTCCATGCTTTGGGCTCACATTCTGTAAGCAACTCCTGCTGATATCCGGGATTGTTTAATGTTTGACTATCCTCCCACAAATGCTCAACTCTTAGCCGTATATTTATGAAATTTGTTCCAATTACGAAGTTTGTTCTCCCTACGAAACAGTCTGACCCTGCTTTAGTCCTTAGATATCTGCTGCATGCCATCAAGCGTTTTGAATACTAATGGAACATATTGATTTTCCTCTCTAACAATCTGTCTGTTTCCTTCCTTTTCTCCCCCTAATTATTCTTTCCCTTGCTCCTGTTTCACTGGAAGCAGCAAACCTGACAGGTAAGATTAAACCAATGTCAAGCTCTTTGTTCATTTTAACCCACAGCAATTACATGATACCAGATGCTGTACGGGGAACTTGTACAAAGCTGTGAAACACCATTTTTATTAATGCACTATTTACTCAATCCAAGTAGCCATGCTAATGATGTGTCACAAGTCAGTCTGTTTTTTTTCTCCTTGGTTGTTTGTATCTACTAATTGCTCTTTTGACTAAATGCTGTTTGAGCAGCAAGCGCAAGGACTCTGAACCCGGTACCAAGAGACTTTTGGAGAACGAAGATGGAACGAGGATAGCCCATCACCCGACAGACCCCGTGGAGATGAGACGCATCAACTTCCAGACTCCAGGTATGAAAAAACACTTCGTAATTGCATACTAAAATGTACTTCCGATTGCTCATCAATTGACGATGAAATATTCATGCCACTATTTTTAACTTTGGTAAGATTATGCAGACAAGATTGTGAAGGTGCATCACAACCCACCTGGCAGCTTCCAGTCATTTCTAGAATCAAAATGTCCGCTGCCCAGGTATTGCAGTCAGTGCTTACGGCTGAGTCATAACGGTGTGACAAAATCAGATCATCTCCTCTCGCCCACAGTCCACATGCCAGGCTGCAGATAACACATCAGAACACACAGATATCTGTCTTATCACTCCCAAATTAAACGGTCAAAATTATATATCAAAAGGTGAGTTGCTGGTTAACTGTGATAATTCATAAAGGAATTAATTCTGTTCTCTCTGGCTCACCAACTTAAACCCTGCTGTGATGTAACTACAGGCATTTGGCCGCTGCCCACCTCCTACAGAGCGAGATCTAACAAAACAGCTGCTTTGGTCCAGGCATCAGGCGGATGATGCTTTACTTTCTCTCCTTCCTTTAAATTAACAGCATCCAAAAACACATGGCCTGGAGGGATTGAATGACAGTATTTTCCATATTGTCACGAGTGCAGTTCATAAATAAGTCGGTGTTGAAAAGGTAGCAAGATGTGTCATCGTGAAGAAAGGTTTTACCTTGCAAGCTTTCTCATTTAATCCATAGTTTAAGGTGGAGTTTTTTTTAACGTGTTCGTGGGAAGCGAAGTAAAACCCACAGAACAAAGCGCTTCAGCTCGTCTCTTCGATCATATGATTGTTTTACTCTCATGTGGCAGAATAACTGAAGCTCCCACTTCTTCTCTCCTGAGATTTGTGAGATGCTCAACAAAGATGAAACTTGTCTCAAACCTAACCAGCTGATGCTATCTGAGGTCGTTTTGGTCGTGACAGGAGCATTTTGTCGTGATAACTTGTGGGTGCTGCAGTGCCATGCTGGCGGAAAAAAATAACCGTTGATACGGCATGAGCCTGTTATTAATAGCTGTAGCAGCAGAATATCTTAAATGCTTTTCATAGTGTATCGACATGGATTACAATTCAAGACACATGGAGAGCGCATTCTGACTGAGATAGATTGTTTATTGTGTACAAAGCAGTGTTTCTCTTTGATTTGCTGTTGTAACTATTTTCCTTTTGAATGGACAATAGATCGCAAAAGCTCCACTTTTCACACTCCAGCTGTGAACAGAAACGGATGTACGAGGCATAGGTTGCTCCCTTTGAGTGTGTATGTGGGTGTACGTTTGTGCAACCCTCCTAATTAGTGTTCTGTCTGTGTTTGTTTTCTCTGAATCGTTGCTCCTCTGATCACAGAGAAAGCAATTTATCAAAGAAAAACAATTTACAAACAAACAAGACTCGCCTGACTTTGTCCTCGCACATGGATCAAAATTGATTTTCTGCCTCAGCGTGTTCCTTAATGATATGTGAAGTTCTCTGATTGTATTATTATCTGCACTTCTTTGCATATGAGTGATGTTGACCTGCAGTAATTTAGGGTAACTCAGCGTGTGACTGTTGTTGTCACGCAGGAATGATGAGCCACCCCACCATCCCCATCAACGAGCTGGCCGAGCACATTGAGGTGCTGAAAGCCAACGACAACCTGCGCCTCTCCCAGGAGTACGAGGTAAAAAAACGGGATTTTTCCATAAGAATGAATATGTATCCTCATTGTTTAAAGATGTTAAGCCTGTTAAGCCTTCGCTTCATAAAGCAACCTTATTTAACATTTCCATCTATGCGTGCAGATTATATGTTCATGATTTATTCAGCTCTGCAATTTGTTGCTGTAACTTGCCTACATCACAGAACGCTCTTTCCATTATCCTCAAGTACACTACTCAATATGCCACTCTCTTAATGTGTATTTGCTGCTGCTTTTTCTTAGTCCATCGACCCTAGTCAGCAGTTCACCTGGGAGCATTCAAACCTGGAGGTCAACAAGCCCAAAAACCGCTACGCTAACGTCATAGCGTACGACCACACCAGAGTCATCTTGGCTCCCCTAGAAGGTGAGGATTAGCTGAAAAATAAGATGTTTAGATATAGACATGTGAGAGTGGGAGTACGGATGTGTTTAAAGGGTTGAAAGCAAAGAGAGGTGGGAGAGGGAGAACTGCATGATGGATGAAATGTGAAATTGCAAACAGTGCTCAGGACTAGCTGTGTGCAGTGGCATGAGACTGACAAACAGTGCCAGTGCATTCAAGTGCAGCCAGCACTCCTCCAGAACAAGAAGGGGGGGAATGGATTTGATCTTCAGCTCATGAATTTACACAGACAGAGTGTCGTTTGTTTGTTGTCGTCCGCTAGTCACCTAGCAGCCGTCTGTCGTAAGGCGCGGCTGCCAGATACAAACAAGTTTTGTTAGGCTGTTTGATGTCATACACGCAGGTTAATTTATTATGTTGCTTATGCAGATGCAGTTTAGCATCAGAGCCTTACAAGTGTCTCGTCTGCGCAGGTATCCTGGGGAGCGACTACATCAACGCCAACTACATTGATGGCTACAGGAAACAGAATGCCTACATCGCTACACAGGGGCCACTGGCGGAGACGTTCGGGGACTTTTGGAGGAAGGTGTGGGAGCAGCGGGCCGCCTCTGTGGTCATGATGACGCGCCTCGAGGAGAAGTCACGGGTAGGAAGTCCAACCTCCACACACTGACCCCCAATACACATATTAGATTACCCGTAATTTATAGTTTAGCCTGTTTGCTTTACAAATGTAATTAAACCTTTAAGGCAAGGCAAGGCAAGTTTATTTATATAGCACCTTTCAAGGCAATTCAAAGTGCTTTACAAAAATGAAAGACATTAAGAGCATGAAGAAACATATTATAAAATGGCATTTCAAAACACTCATTTAAAGGTGGGGTAGGTAATTTTGGAGAAACCAGCTCGAGATCGCTAGAATTTGAAAATACACAGCAGGAAAGAATCTGCCACTTCCTGTAGTACATATGCCAGGCCTGTAGATGGTGCTGTTCTCACAGAATCAGCCCTTGCAAAAACAGAGCTAACATTTTTCAAATTGAGCGAAATGAGGCATGGCTAAAATGCATGATCTGTTTGGTATTTTGAAAAAAAAAAAGTATAAATATGCCTTATATAGGTATGGTCCTACACTATATTATTCAAATATAGCATGATAGGTCCACTTTAAATATAGGGAAACAGATTTTTGTAATTCAGTCTGAAAACCATAATAGTTATAATGATGATGCTTTTCCATTACCCGTGCAGATAAAGTGTGACCAGTACTGGCCGAGTCGCGGCACAGAGACGTACGGGACGATCCAAGTCACCCTGCTGGACACAATGGAGCTGGCCACATTCTGTGTGCGCACCCTTTCCCTGCACAAGGTAAAATGATTGCCCTCTTTTCTTGCTCGCTCTCCATCTGAATCCACCCCTTGACTCACCGCTCTGCCCTTTCCTCTAGTAATTACTGTCATTGAAAACTGCTTTGATGTCTTGAATTGACCGTTCGGAACCTGGAGTAATTACGAATTTCCACTGTCACTTGCCGAGTCGCGCATGTGAACACACGGAGGAGGACAGATTATTCTCGGCTTCATGGAGTGTTCAAACCAGGCCAGCCCCGCTGTGTCAGACGCTGAGATTTGATCACTGTTGGAAGCAGAGCACTTTCTTATAGCGCAGGACTAATCTAGGACCGGCAGACTAGCCTGTCTCTGTGGCCTACTTACAAATACAGAAACTGGGCCAACTTTCGCTTCCAAGTGTTGCACAGCCTCTCCAAATGTTGTGATGTGTTATCAAACGTCCAGCTACGAGATCTGTCATAGAGTGGAGAATAACACACATGCAATATTTACTTATCCTAGTATTATTCCTGTCTGTTGTGTATATTTTGCACAATGTAAGAATATTTGGGGTCTTCAAACTGCATTATCTAAAACTATTTTATACAGTGTGTGTAGGAATCATTATGATTGCATTAATTAAAAAGCTTCTTGGATATATATTTTTTATTTTAGTTTAGTATATAAATGTATATGACAGTGAGAGCGCATATTGACAGTGCAACATTTCTTCTTAGCAAGAAAGGCTTATTTTCATTTCGTCCACAGGCAGGCAATAGTTAAAAGCACAGACGTTATAAATAAAAGCATAACAAATCAATCAAAAACAGTCCTGGCTTCTATGATTGGCAATAACTACATCATCATAACTGATGGAGATATATCTGAGAAACTGAGCTCAAACCAATTGGAAATGTTGTCATTTCCCTTCAATTACTGAATACGTTTAATATTAGAACATTCAATAATGCATAAAGTGAAACATCTAACACATGCACATGTTCAGACAAATGTGTCTTCAGTGACTGTAAAGCCAATTTCTTTGCTTGTGTCTTATTTAAGAGTGGCAGCAGTGAGCGGCGAGAGGTGCGTCAGTTCCAGTTTACATCCTGGCCAGATCACGGTGTGCCGGAGTATCCCACCCCCTTCCTCAACTTCCTCCGCAGGGTCAAAGCCTGCAACCCTCCTGACGCCGGACCTATTATCGCTCACTGCAGGTACAGCACACACACCTAATTTTATCTTAAAGGTCACCTATTATGCAAAATCCACTTTTTCACGTCTTTTATAGATAAACATGTGTCCCCTCTGTGTAAAGAGATTCTGAAAGTTACAGGAAAGAAGATTCGCTCACTTTTTGTCCTGATCCATTTATATAAAAACCTGTCAGAAAATGAGCTGATCAGATTTTGGCCACTTCATGAGGTCATAACGATTGTTTGGCTTGTGTACAACCATATCTGTTTGGTATGTTGAGCCAAACACTTCAGAGACATGTTTTGTATATATCTGAGACCTATAATTTATTGATGAAAAATTGTATAATAGGGGACCTTTAAATGGATTCATTTTGGTAAATATGCATTTTTGAAAATTAGATGAGAATAAGGATACCACTATTATCTCTGGTATCTTCTCAGCCAAATTAAGGCAAAAAAAAGCTCAATATGTTGAACTATTCCTTTAAATGAAAGTAGGAAACAGAAAAAGCTTCCCTCTTGGTCAACACTTATTCCTCTTCCTCTATCAGTGCCGGCGTTGGTCGCACTGGCTGTTTTATTGTCATCGATGCCATGCTGGAGCGCATTCGACAAGAGCGCACTGTGGACATCTACGGTCACGTGACCCTGATGCGCTCACAGAGGAATTACATGGTGCAGACGGAGGATCAATACAGCTTCATCCACGAGGCCCTGCTGGAGGCCGTGGCCTGTGGGAACACTGAGGTGGCCGCTAGGAGTCTTTACTCCTACATGCAGAAGCTGGCCAAGGTGGAGCCCGGAGAGCACATCACCGGCATGGAGCTGGAGTTCAAGGTAGGGGAGAGGGGTCAAATTACAAGGGTGTGAATATTTGCTGTCTCGCAAATATTACATTTTAAGAGATTGTCTGAAAAGAGGCAAAGAGACGTTTTTTTGAGCTACCTAAAACAAAATCATGTCTTCTTATAATCGCCTGTTACAAGTTGCGAGTGGTGAGCAGTTCAAAATGTGGTTGATTTTCCTTTCTGAAATCGTTTAAATGTATTCATACTTAATGGAGCCTTTGAGATATAAGTCTACCTAAGAGATGACATGAACACAAATTAAAAAAACGTTTCCAAATTATTTTGTATTCCCCCAAATAGGGAACCTTTAGAAAACGGTAGTCCTTTCCATAAAATAACTAGGAATACATCTTTGATAATCCTGCATTCTTGCATGCCAAATCAGGTTAGATTTCCTGGAATATATATATATATAAATAATATAGATTAAAACTAAATAGAAACATCTTCACACATTTTACATGTTCTCTCTCCGTGCAGCGGCTGGCTAACACCAAAGCCCACACATCCCGGTTCGTCACAGCCAACCTGCCTTGCAACAAATTCAAGAACCGACTGGTCAACATCATGCCCTATGAAACCACCCGCGTCTGCCTCCAGCCAATCAGAGGCCTGGAGGGCTCTGACTACATCAACGCGAGCTACATAGACGGATACAGGTATGTTTTTGTCCAGAGAACATTAATGTGACCTGATCCCCTCGTCCTCTTATGATGGCTGCTTGAGTGAATGGACTGGATGGGTTTTCACCGCAATGTTCCCACCTGTCACGTCCTGTCACATCGGTCATTATTGTAAACATGTAATCGCTATTTGTCTTGCTGCACGGCACTTGCCTCAGTCACAGGGCTTCTGATGATTCAGGCATTCAGAGCAATTGCACACACATGTTTTGACTGTTCCTTTTCTTGCCTGGAGTCTGACCCCCTTTTCAGTCTGATGATTGACAGAGGGAGAGTGTGTGTGTGTGTGTGTGCGTGTGTGTACTTGTGTGTGTGTGTGTGCTCGCGTGTGTGTGTTTAGAATATTATAAAAACACTTTAATAGCTGTTGCAGCATGTGGTGATTTTATATAATATTTAGTTATAGGATCCCCATTAGTTGTCTATGCCCTAAAGCGCAACTAGTCTTCCTGTGGTGCAGATTTGAAAGCACACATATACAATTCCAGGCAAAAATAAGACAAATGGTATAGTAGAGAATACCATCAATTAAAAAAATGACTTTCTCAACATAGTTGTGAGGAAAAGCAAATCCCCTTAAACTATGCATTTCATCCTACAAATATGATGTTTGAATATGTTTCCTTATTTGTTTCATAAACATTGATTTATTTGTTAATTAAGGTAGTAGCAGTGTGTTTTTATCGCTTTATATACAACTATTTGTTAAAGGAAATGCGTTTTTGCCTTGGGGAGTGAAAAACACCCTTCATGTTGCCTACGTCTGATCCTAATTTGTGTTTTAATTGACTGTATTGACACGATTGATTCTTGGATAGTTAAACCTGCCATGTAGATAGTATCGGTGCTGCCATCATCCTGTATTTAACGTTTAGACAGTTAAGATGGATGTGCATGCGATTGATGTTAGTGCCGTATGAACACTGTAGAGCATGGTTTGCTGCTTTGTTCTGTTCTCGTTGGAGTTTGGTTAAATCTCTTTTGTGACGTGTGTGTGTGTGTGTGTGTGTGTGTGTGTGTGTGTAGGCAGCAGAGAGGCTACATTGCCACCCAGGGTCCATTGGCTGAGACTACAGAGGATTTCTGGAGGATGCTGTGGGAACACAATTCCACCATTGTGGTCATGCTCACCAAACTGAGAGAAATGGGCCGGGTAGGGGTAATTACATGCACAGAGACAAAGAGCTAGAAATTACATTAAATGTCAGCCCAGTTCATAATGTCATTAATCGTTTATTTTGTTCTGCTCTCTCAGGAGAAGTGTCACCAGTACTGGCCCGCAGAGCGCTCAGCCCGGTACCAGTACTTCGTGGTGGACCCCATGGCTGAGTACAACATGCCTCAGTACATCCTCCGGGAGTTCAAAGTCACGGATGCCAGGGTGAGTTCATGTTCTGCTGTATTTTGTATCCAAACAGCAAGCGTAACATTACACTCCTTGACTTTTCTGCCCTTTTCCCAATCCATCAGTGCTGTTTGAAGGCAGCGATGCAAAGCATGTCCTATCGACCTGTAGTGTGTGTTGGTTAGTGTGTGTTTTGTATGGGAATGCTTAGGTCTATTGGTAAGTAGCCCCTTAGATTACTCATTCAACCGTGCTGTCTCCAGATCACCTTGACAGCATAGTGTGTGTGTGTGTGTGAGTGACTGTGTGTGCACATCCTCTCATGCACATATCAGCCAATCATAGATAACTCCAGTTAGGCCTGTCCTGCACTGACGCCACATCGACAGATGCTCTATTGATCTCCATTAAAGGGGAGTCAGAAAGGCTGAGCAGAAGAGAAAAGATGTAATTGCCCACTGAGTGGCTGACAATGGCAGACGTACAGACGTTACAGCTTGGAGTTAACCACAGCCACTGATCCAGGGTCAGATAACAGTAATCATTAGAAGGGAAGAAAAGGATATTGCATGGCAGCGTCTCACTCCTCAGTCAATAGAAGAAGAATCTCTTTAAATAATCTTTTTGTGGAATAAAACAACCACGCACAAACACTAACTACATCTTTAAAGGATAAACATCTTGATGCTTTTTGAAGATGCATCAGATACACTCTCTTATCAACTCAGGCTAATCGTTCTTCACCCCCTTATCACCTCACTTATTCAGGACGGCCAATCACGGACAGTGCGTCAGTTCCAGTTCACCGACTGGCCAGAGCAAGGCGTGCCCAAATCCGGAGAGGGCTTCATCGATTTTATTGGCCAAGTGCACAAAACCAAGGAGCAGTTTGGCCAGGATGGACCAATCAGCGTTCACTGCAGGTAAGCAGCATGACATCTCAGTGACTAATGATGACACCATTCAATGTTAATTAAAAGTACATGTAATTGCATAATAACGGCAGTAGGTGTAGCACATTAAGCTCAGACACTTTGTTAACTATAGTCATGTTTCCCTTTATGGCTGCAGTGCTGGCGTGGGGCGGACCGGTGTCTTCATCACTCTAAGTATCGTCCTGGAGAGGATGCGTTACGAAGGGGCAGTGGACATCTTCCAGACCGTCAAAATGCTGCGCACACAGAGACCGGCCATGGTGCAGACTGAGGTAAATACTGACACGATGTGGGGCTGAGTGATTCATAAAGCAGGGCAGAGACAAGTAAAGCGCTCTATAACAGTGGTTCTCAACTGGTCAGGCCTCGGGACCCACTTTTTACTTTGTCAATAAATCGCGACCCAACATTTTGAACCACTCAAATCTATTCAACAAAAGATCGTGCTGTAATATATATACGCTTTTCAGCATACAATATTAATTAAAGTGAAGTACAGTGCACATATCCCTTCACAGAACTAAAGTATGCTTTAAAAAAAGTTTTAATGAGATGATGGAATCAAGTCTAGTTACATATAAACTACATATGTTTATATATATTCTGGTACACTCTGAGAAGAAAATAAATGAATCTATTACTACCCGACATATTAATAATATGTTATGACATTGTTTGTTTTTCACTTTGTTCTGACAGCTGAACCTGCTGCTCCTCACAGAGAGAAGAGTAAAGAGGAGATAGTCTGTGTGAATTACTATAAATTGTGGGTAACGGTAGACATCAGCAAAGATGTTTTATTGAGAAGATGATCACTACGTGACAGAAGTTTTCAAAAACGTTTATGGTCTCCGGTACTTCCAGTCCAACGCCTACTGCATGCACAGCGTTAGAAAATCGGGCCTTCAAAATAAAAGTTTGACTTTTTCCCCAAAAATCAAAAAAAAAATTCTATTCTATTTTTTCTTCACTCACACATCCGCGACCCACTCGAAACGGGTCCGCGATCCACCAGTTGAGAATCACTGCTCTAACACACCATTGGTCATGATTAAAGCAATATTTTAATCAATCCGGTTATATTTTTACTGTTTAATTATTTATATATTATTTATTTATATATTAATCTAACCTCAACCTGTCTTACACTCTGATTTTCCTTTTTTAATGATGATGCTATTCCGTTAAACATACTTTTCTATCAAGCATGTGTAATTAATTATGAGCGAATTGAAAAAATATAAAATATTTGCACCTCCCATCATGGCTGTAGAAAAATGCATTATACCACCTAAAAAACACATCTATATTCGTCCATATGTATGAGGCTATTTTATTTCCAACTGCATGCTAATATTAAAGGTCCCATGTCATGCTTTTCTGGTTATTACCCGTCCCCTTGTGTGTTATGTAGCTTTTTATGTAAACGGTCTGCAGAGTCACAAACCCTCAAAGTACACCCTGTAGCGAGTAAAACTCTAACACAGAAAAGACCTGTCTATGCTGCCCCAGAACGCCTCGTTGGAGATTTCTCTTTTCTTCCTGGGTACAGTGACGTATTTGGGTATAGTGACGTAACGTAACTGCTCCGCGGATTGTTCCAAATGGACCAATCCGCAGAGCCGTTACGTTACGTCCGCGGAGCCGTTACATTTGGACCAATCCGCGGACTTCCTCACACACACACACTCAATCTTTTCTCAGCTGCAGCTCCGCCGATTTCTCCTCCCTGAGACGGCGGGACGCGGCGAGGCTGTGAGTCTGTGTGTGTGAGCACACACACAGACTCACAGCCAGGCTGCGGGTGTGTGTGTGTGTTCGGGCTGGGTTTCGCTGTGTCTCGCTGTCTCGCAGACGGCCACTGGGCTCACAGGGAGGGGGAGGTAGGAGCTCCAACAAGCCGTTTCGGACAGAGAGTGAATACACATACTATACAGAGATGTTGTATGAGAAACCAATGTGAGTTTGGAAAATTGCACAATATAAATCTATTTTAGTAGACCTCAACAATGGAATTATGATCAGTAGAAATGGCCATGACATGGGACATTTAAAACATAAAAGATGTGCTTATTTTTTATTTTTCCACGAGTTTTGATCAATAGGAAAATAATTTGTTGCTGATTTGTAGCTGCAAATACAAACTTTTACGCTCTCTGTGAAAACCACATATCATGTACGATTTTATTTTATAACAGGTCTGTGACTGTGGCATTTTTCCCATAAACGAAAGGGTTTCTCGTGTTTTGTTTATCTCAAATATGAGAACTTTCTCAAAAGGGACACTTAATCCTTCAATTCATCTGAAAAATTAGAAATCACCAGACTGAGAGATTAGGATATATAAGACACTCAGCAATCCCAACCTACAGTAAAGCCAGGATTTGAGTTAAGCCTCTGTTGCATACCATCGTCATGATTCTAGCTAAGAAATTTGACTGGAGAGGTGTTGTGAGCCTGTGTATGTTCCTGTTCAGAGCAATGATTTCTCCCTCTGTTTGTCACCCAGGATGAGTATCAGTTCTGCTACCAGGCTGCTCTGGAGTACCTGGGTAGCTTCGACCACTATGCAACGTAAATAAAGAGACAACCCCCCATCCATCTGTCTGCTTCGAGGTCCACCAACAAACTGACGAGTGAAACGAGAGAAAGACAGCCTGAAATAACGTGAACATTGAACCTTTTCCTGGGAGCAAGACTTAAAGATGAATTATACACCAACAAGGACAACAAAAGATAACAACAAAAACAGCAACAATAAATCTGTGTCTAACAGCACCCACACTGCTGGTGGGTGTGGAGACTATCCATGTGTAATCCATATACTTACCTCAGTGTTCCAGTGTGAAGGACGTATAATACATGTGTGTTGTGGTCAGCTATCTCCAATATGAACCAGTGAAATACAAACAGCTTCTGAACAGGAATTATGATACTATATGTCTATTAAAAAAAAAGGAAAAAAACACAAAGAGCCTGGATATTTGCTGCACCCTATATGGGCTTTTTATCCTCAACTTTGTATCTATTGGTTTAGTGTACTAAGGGGTTACAAAGTGCAAAGGTGAACATTTTTATGTGTCCGTGAGTCTATTTCAAAGGTGTCTAAGGTTGCCACAGGTAGCTCTGATCGTAGTTTAGAGCACATGACTCAACACCCAGAGGACTGTTGGAGAAGCATGTGGATGCTCATTTACCCAAAGCACAGTGCCAAGAGAAACCATGCAGCGTGAACGTGAACCGTGGCCTACAAGGAGAGATGACTGCCTCTTTTATCCAGCATAACATAAAGTCAGACCAGAGACCGCTCTTACAAACACTGGCCAAGGATCAGTTCATGCTCGTCTCCAATGGTGTCCTCGCTGAGCAACAGCCCGGCCTCAGAACAGTGATTAGAGCCCGTCATATCCTCCACTGGGCTGAGATCTGTAGTCCAGTGCATTCTTCGTCAAACAAAGCTTGCTTGCTATTTGCTGTGGTCCTTGTTCATCCTCCAGCTCATATCCTCTTGAAGTCAGCCCCATTGTGTCAGCTCAGCAGTGGCTCATTGAGAGGGATGCTAATGAAAGCTTCAATCCTGCTAAAACAGTTCTCATCCCATTTCTGCTGACATGATTTTTGTGTGTTTTTACTGTACGTCTCTGCCTTACGCTGACTTATTTCTTGTGTTCATGCTGCTCAATGTTCATGCGTTGTGTGCTTAACATTTATTGTCATACAGTATCTGAAATTGAGGATGAAAGTTATTTCCCAATCATCTTCATCCTCTAAAGCTTACCTACTTGAATTGCACGACTTCGCAGTTACATCAATCTTGTGTTTTTACTATATAAGGCTACTGGCAGTGAAAGATAATGACAGAAATCCAAAAAAAACATTCAGCGCTTTTTTGCTCACTTTCAACAGTCCTCTCCCCTCACCTACCTTCATATAAACTTCATTCAAATTCTCTCTGTTTCTAAATCACATTGTACAGAACATCCCAACTTAACCAAATTATGTTTCCCCCTGTCTGCTCCAGTAGAAATGCACAATTCTGTGATATCGATATATATCTTTTCTTGATTTGACATATAATCATAATTGGTCCCATGTGGTGATTTAAGAGCACAGCGATGTCCGGTGAATCAGACATTTCGGTTTCACAGATTTTGTACATACAGTCTATCATTGGAGTCCTATAACAGTACAGTTGCATACGTCTGAGCACAAGATATAACGTGGGATTGGATGTGATGTAGTTCTTATTGTCGCAAAAAAAGCCTTATTGTTATTGTTCACTTTGTTATATTTATTTCATATGATTTTTTAAGATATTTATTATTCTATTTTGTTACTTTTTATGTTCGTTTTTAATCTATTTATTTGCGATATCTACCAACTATAACCGATAAGATGTTGTATACCTGTTTCTTTGGCGAGCCAATGTTAAAGTATGATATTGTCACTGTTTGTTTTTTTATTTTCGATGGTCAGTTTTGGTGCTTTTTTATTTGCTTTATTATGATAAAGTATGCCCTCTGTGTAGGGTGCTATTTGATACTGATTACTGATGTCCGACTAGTTAGCTAGAGATGTGCATTAGAGGAGACCTAGTTTAAGTTTACAGTGATGCCCTTTTGATGCCCCCCCCACTCTCCACCTCCATAGCAACAGCAGCGGTGTGATCGATCACCGCAACAGAGGTATGGTCCGCCCCTCCGTGATACGTTTAAGGGCATCAGAGAATTACATATAGAGAGCAGATTTGTTGACTAAAACCTCGGACAAGCTGTTGGTATTAAGATTCCTGGAAAGCACATAGTAGCAGGTGTATTTTTGACAGAGAATGGGCCAGCTACATGCACCCTCTAAAGTTAATGTTTATATCTGAAATGATTCTGATATGAAATTAATGTGTGGTCCAGAAGTCTTGACAGTGTGTGACATATATGAAATATGTTATTCCTTCGATTTCTAATGATTATTGTGTCAAGAGAAATATAAAGGCACTCACATGAAACATAATATGACGTGTGTTGAGGGCCAGCTCTGATGACTCACCCCCTCACTTATGTACCTGTTCTTTCCTTTCAAACCATGGATGTAGATATTGTATCTTGACTTTGTATTAAAAGCAGGATGATTGGATATAGCGCACAATGAGCTGTTTGATTTTTGTGTTACTTTCCTCTTTTTCTTTCCTTCATTGCCCACTAGATGGGACCAAAGTTACTCTAAACTGAAATGCACTACTGTCACTGAACGCAGCTTTAACTAAATGCATTATAAACAATTACACACAAAAGTGTTTTGAAATTAAATACTTATGCCTTTCTTTTAAGCATGAGTATTAAGAAAGTTGAATGCTGGTTTGGAGCTACACAAAGAGATGGCATTAATTTATTCTGTAACTCCATGTGTAGCATTATAATATAGTAATACATGAACAAGGCAAAATAATGAAGTGTTCATGTCATATAGGAAGAATGGTAGGGACAGTAAATATGTACATGTTAAAGAATACTGAGACTGTAAGGATTTAAATAATGTATTGGAATTACAATGTAAATACAAAATACAGCGCCGAAAAGACACACTACACAAATATTTAATAACTTCCCTGGTCTCCTACTGATTATAATACAACACTTATTGAAAAGAGATTTTTTTTTAATGAAAATTAGCACAAGGACTGTAAGCAGCTGCAAGCATTCACTCTTTCTCTAAGGCCACGTTTACACGGAGACGAAAACGAACCTTAGTCGATATCAAAAAAGTCTTCCGTCCACACGTAATCGGCTCAAGAAACGTGTCCGTCCACACGAGACCGCTCGACCCGCTGGAGACGCTGTAGTACATATGCCGGGCCTGTAGGTGGCGCTGTACTTCCGCCTCAAAATACACCAAAAGCAGCGAAGAAGACCCCCCGAGCATGGTTGCCTGGTTGCCCTTCTGTTTATTCTCCGCGGTGGATTTAGCAACATGTAGTTCATGTAGTTCTCCATGTCCACTTGTTGCTGATGGTTGTGGTAGAGGAGCTGTAGATTTTGCACTAACATCTGTACCATGGTCAGTAGCGTCTGGAGCACAAAAGCAACCCTGTGATCGCCATTGTTGTTGTTGTTGACGAAACACATCAGCAATGACGCGGGGGTGAGCAGGAGAGGTGGAGAGAGGCGGGGCTATGGCGTCATCCTTATCAGGAAATGATCTTATAGGACGTACACACGGAGCCGTTTGGCCCCCCAGAGCGTTTCGTCCGCAGATCTACCCACCTTGGGAGCCGTTATCGTTTGAGGGCTCCGTTTCCGCGGTTCCGTTACGGCCTCGTGTGGATGAACCGTCCATACGATAGAGAACTGTAGCTGATACAACCCGTTTCGTCTCCGTGTAAACGTGGCCTAAGGTCCACTCTCAAGTTTAAGCTTTAATGTTTGACGTTTGACCCAAACACTATATCCTTTGTCAAAATGTTGCAACCCTTAGGAACACAAATTGTACAGGAACAAGGAACGAGGAAAGAATATTGGTATTTCCCTTTTTTTTTTAAAACAACTTTTATCATTTCAGGATCTCTACCTTTTCTTTGTTTCAGTTAGTTGATCTCTGCATCATGTTTGCAGTACAGCCCGGCACACACCCATATGTGAAGAGATTAAATCAGCTGTGACTGACTAAAAATGAAACTCACACTGGATAGATCTGATCCCTGAAAAGCTCTGCATTTTATTACTTTTCAGTAACACCTGCAAGTTATATAAGAGTTGCTGTCCGTGCAAAGTTCAAATACACAGGATCCTCCCTTTTGTTTCTGACTATGATCTGTCTGTTCTGTTGATATAGAGACTGATTGACTAACCCTTTCAACTCAAACCTCCTCAAAATCTAACAAAGCCAACTGCACAGTTGTATTCTAAGGAAAAAAAGGAAAAAGAAAAGAAAGAGCATAACTCTTATGTCAATCACTAGACAATTCAGTTATGGTCATTTTAATATTTTCATGACCTACCTGAAATATTTCCTTCTTAAGATATGTCGAGACAGGCTTCGTAACTCGATGCTCAAAAGGAAACGTTAGTTTTTTATGCTGGTATACTCTTTAATTTTCCCTCAACCTCATATGATGACGATACATAACACACACACACACAGACACAATGGTCAATGTGACCCTGAACTGCTGTTGCTCCAAGCACAGAAGATTGTCTGAAATTCTGACAAACAATGTGCAATATTTGTGGTTAAATTAACCCCAAGTGTCTATTTGCTCCCGGGTGACAATAGCTACACCACAGGTATTGGGCTATCTACAGCCACCCAGCCCCAAACCCCCTTACCCACCTCAACTTGTCATACAATGCCGTAAAGCGTGGAATTAGGCAACTTATGCCGCGTTTCCACTACACGGCCTCGCTCGGCCCCGCTCGGTATGGCTGGGCCTCGTTAGGACTGGCTCACTTTATGGCGCATTTCCATTACAGTTTAGGAACTGGGGCAGTATCTATAGTAACGCAGTGTAGGCGGAGCCGTGACGTGATCTTCAGAGGACCCCAGAAAAACAACACAGCCGTTAGCTGTTAGCACTCAGAGCTCACAGCTCCTCATATATGTTCAGAAACTAGACAAAAGTTAAACAAGTACAAACCACAGACTGCCTGTGTCATGGTGAATACAGTCGCTGCTTTATTTATGTCTGTATAGGCCGTTGTTGTGAGTGTGGACGGTCGGGGCATATACTGCGTTAGCTTAGCCAATCTCCATTTAGAAAACAAGCATTTTAAAAGGTTTTTCGCCTGCCGTCTGTCTGCAGACTTGACAAAGCATTAATTCATGGTTTTTACTAACCGGTATCAGTATGTTGTTACTTCGGCATCATTTTGAAACGTGTATTACAATTAAATCACGGTCAAATATGTCCATCTTGTTGTAGTTGTTGCCCCCTTGCCAGCGACGCTCTCTCTAGTTTAGCATACTCAGCCCGACTCAGCCTCGTTGTCTCTGGCCCTGGCCCCACGATTTTATGAGGCCAGAAAAACTGTGAATTAGGACCCGCCGGCCGGTACTAGGCCAAGTGGAAACGCAACCAAAGACGGGCCGCTGACGTCACAGCCCTCTTAAACCGGGCTGCGGGCTGTAGTGGAAACGCGCCATAAGTTCCAAGGCATGCTCCAAAAGTCACATCGAAATTGGAGTTGAAGATGTCTTTTCAGAGAGAGTGTGTCTTTGGTGTGAAGGATTCAAGTGTAAAAGGTAGGATACATGATACACAAAATATACCCTTTACAAAAAAATGACCACTGTCTGCTATGGATACCTGGTTGCACCCAGGGTGTAAATACCTAATGTGGCTGTATTCATCCCAGCTGCAAATAGCATTGTTCACTAAAGTGACCCAGGTGCGAATACCATCGGCCATAAATTAATCCATATAATTCAACACTTCATTCTGAATGGTTGATTTAAATCGTTTTTTAAAGATTTTGGCCATTTCATTGAAAAAACTTTCTTTTATCATCGTAGTACAAAATAAATGGGACTGACTTTGCTGCTTCACCCGTACTACGGAGCCCCCTAGGTACGGAGCCCCCTAGGGGGCATGGAGAAGAAGAAAACAATTATTTGAAAAAAATAAAATAAATGTTTTGAGCTTGGCCTTAAATATAAAGATTCAACATCAGTGCTTGGCCACGGGTTTCACATAAGTGAAAGACACCTCAAGAGAACACTCAGAGCGAGGGGACATGCACGTCGCAAAGCATACTCTGAGCTGAGTTATTGACAGATTCGAATTTCGCGGATCAATAACTCATGAACATAATTTACGTTGTAAAAATACAAACAACATGACTTTACAATCATAGGAAGGTAGACAACAAGCTACAGAGTCGTTTTTATCAGAACAGTTCGATACGCACCGTCATCCGAGCTAAACTTCAAGAATTGAATTTTTTTTCTCTGGCCCGTCCACACGGCGGCGTGCGTTGAAGCTTCAACGCTTCTGCCCATTCACTTTGAATGGGGTGACGTCACACTTTGCCGAACTGCATTGTGGGAGCGTCGCTTCGCTTTGCTCACATTGCTTGCTTCAAAAGTTGAGCAATGTTCAACTTTTGAAGCTTCGACGGAAGCGTCAGCCAATCAAATCATATGCCAGTACAAGCTCTAGCCAATCAAACCGCGTGCTTGTGTGTCCGGGGCGGGAGATTCATGTGATTGGTTGTTGGTCGAGTTTCAGACACGCCCACCGGCAAGCTTCAACGCACGCCGCCGTGTGAACGCTGCGGTGTGCATGCTAAGAAGTCTGAGCATGTGATGCATTTATTTCATGTATCCTTGTTTGCCAAGGACCAAGCTTATGTATTACAATTAGGGCTGTCAAGTTAACGCGTTAATAACGCGTTAACGCAAAAAAAAAATTAACGCCACTAATTATTTTAACGCGATTAACGCATGTGTATTTTTTGTCCTCGGCCGCCGTAGTTTCAGAGCGCATCGAGTGTAAAATACCATCGACAAGCTGATGCTGACAGCCCCGCTCCTGCCGCCCGCTTGTGGCAGACCACACTTCCACGCTCACTGGCAGGCCCGGACTGGCCATCGGGAGGACCGGGAGGGAGTGTGTATGTGTGGCGCGACTCGCGCGAGCGAGGCACACCTTACGTGTTGTTGTTGTTAGCATCTGGTGCTAGCTAGCTGCGCTAACGGATATAAGGAGCTGTTTCAATGACATTTCGCCGACAACTGCGCCGAGCACTTGACTTTATGCAGGTAGCCAGACAGTGTGACATTGTACGAAAAGTCAGCACGGATAGTACGCGCAACATTATTGCAGCGTCCAGGCAGCTCCCATTCGAGCATATATGCCTTGAGCAGCTGCACATAGCTCAACGATCCATCACCGTGTCTACACACACACACACACACACACACACACACACACACACACACACACACACACACACACACACACACACACACACACACACACACAGTATTATTGTATGAGAGAGGTTCCAGGTTGAATTGAGGCGAATATTTGTAATGTTCAAAGGTTGTTGTGTTTAATATTCATGAGAATATTTGTCATTGTTCAAATGATAATAAACAAACATATAAAGCATATTTGTCCACTCATATGTTGATAAGAGTATTAAAAACTTGAAAGATATCCCTCTAAGGTACATTTAGAACAGATAAAAAATGTGCGATTAATTTGCGATTAATCGCGATTAACTATGGACAATCATGCGATTAATCGCGATTAAATATTTTAATCGACTGACAGCCCTAATTACAACACATGACTGTGCATATAATAAGCAATTAGTTTCAAAGCATTTTGAATGAAAGTTTGTGGATTTATGAGGCTTAACAGTTTTTGCTAGGTCATGCCGTGTGATACATCAAAGCATCATTCCTCCTGTGATCTGTATCTGTGCAGGCTGAGCAGGTTAGCTGTCAGGAGACATTGTTGTGGCTGTGATGACGCTCTCTGCATACCTGTGGGCATGTGCTTACAGGTGTGCGTCTGTGTGTCAAGAGGTCAGGGTAAGTAGCACCACCCATAGCACCTTTCCATGGAACAAAAAAGGTGAGGCCTCTTAACCATACCTTCATCGATTGGTTAAGTTTCTGTGAGAATCCCCACCCCTCACAGCTGATTGGTAGACTTAACAGTAGGAGGCCATTCTTAAAAGTAGGCTGTCATCGCCTTTTGTTTCTTTACTCCTAGGAAACAAAGCTTAGAATCTCACTTCAATTAGTTTTTAAAAGAGGGAGAGGCAAAGACAATAGGGAAAGTATTTCACTGCGTCTGTGCATGTGTTTGAATCTGTGCAAGTGTGCAAGTTGGAAGTATTTATATTGCACCATGAGTCTTAAAGGCAGGCGTTTCTCACTGGACAGCTCTGCGTGAGTACATACATGTTATTTGTCCCTATCTTGCTTTTATTATGTTATGTTCCTTCAGTCCCTTTTGCATTGTTCCAAAGGGAAACACTTCTCTTGTACTTTTTCAAGCTGTCCTCAATTCTTTGTATAATATTTGTATATATATAAATATATACACTTTAAGCACCAGCCGTGCACACTGATATCTCCAGTGAAAGTAGCTGCTGGTTTACAAAAGGGAAACCACTCTCTGGAGATGCCTGCTGTTGCTGTGAGACTGCAGACTATCTTCACTTCTAAACAGATGACAATTAGCCCAGGCATTGGCAGAAAGTCAATACAGCTGGTATTAAAAAAAGAAGTTTGGAGCTAGTTTAACTTTTACATAAAATAACTTCTCAAACTGAGATAGTAGATTGGATGTAGAAACAAACAAGAACAGTTTATTCACTTCTTCTACCATTGTACTCTGTTACACTCTGTGGATGTGTTATGTCATTATTTATATTATATCTGTGGAAATTGACTGCATTTACTGTGGAAGATCAGACTCTACCAGATGAAAACAGTTTGAGTGAACATTAGGAAATGTTTACCATCATCCTGCAAGGGTTGTTATCTCCGTGAAGTCTGAAAAACCAACATGTGTATCCATTTGCGTTTTATCTTTACTTTATGTTCTATGTTTGTTCCACCTGTGTGCGTCACATAAAAGCTGCATCTGTCTGACATTTAACTCCTGCTCTCCTGGGACAGTAACCTGGACGGATTGGGTCTCCTTGGTGGAAGAAGAGGCAGCAACAGGTTTAGCAGTAAGAAATCTAGCCAAAGCCCAGCCCCACTGGACATCCAGGAGCTAAAACACAGCATCAACTCCAACATGTACATCAGGTATATTCTGCCTTCAAGTATTCCACGGATTAAGACCAAAACGTAAATGTTATACTTGTACCTAGAAAAAGTCCTGTTATGTTATCTAATTTTTTGTTTTGGTGCATGTTTCCTGTTTGTGTCATCAGGGATCCTATCACAGAAGAGGATAACATTGATCGAACAGATGGCTTTATCAGCAACATTGTAAGTCCGCTTCACATCCTCCTTCTTCCTGTTGCCTGCAACAGCCATGTTTTATATACACATGTTACAATATACTAACTGGAACATAAGCAAGGTTAAGATCCTGAAAATATATCACTGTTTTGCACTCACTGCTTAGAAAGGGAAGGATGAGCAGAGGGTTGCAATCTGCAACCTCACCACTAAATGTCACTAAGTCATACGTGTACATTCAAATCCACTTCACATTACAAGCATTGTGCCAAACAGCAGACAGACACAGAGACAGACAGATAACGTAGCTAGATATGCAAATTAGCAATTACTCACAACTTTGCCATTTCAACTACAGAGCTGATGATATGTCACTGTCAACTTGTTTTTGCTGCTACTAAGTAGGGATTTAAAACACCAAACCTGCTTGTTATATTGTTTTTTATTCACATACATCCCTCACTGCACATTTTTCCCTACAGAGCTTCCTGAAGCACAACAAAACCTTCCACAAAATGTTCCCAGACATCCCTGAGAGGGAGAACCTTACACACAGTGAGTCTGTTACTTGTTCCTGGATATTGATTATGGAAATGACATCACGCTGTGACCTTTTTTCACTTTGTCCCCGCTGTGTGATTAAGTGCTGGCCCATACTTTGTTTGCCAAGTGATGCACGAAGAATGGGAAACTGAAACACTTTAGTACATGATTCTGCAGGCATGTCGGTTGTCAAGGTGACACTGCTGGGTTGTTTTTAAATTGGAGAAACACTTATCTTACTACAAATGTCTTTGTGTCTATTGTAGCATTCTCCTGTGCCTTGCAGAAGGAGGTGCTGTATCATGGAAAACTCTATGTATCTGAGAACTATGTGTGTTTCCACTCGTCAGTGCTGCTCAAAGACACCAAGGTAACGTGCTCAGACATATTTAAATATAGCGTTATTCACACGTTAACACTGAACTGTCATAACAATGGTGGCACCACTTGGGTTTTCTGAATTTGTTCACGAAAAAGTCAGTCCAATTAAACCAACATGTGTTTAATTTTGAGTAATATTTCACTGATGTAGAAGGAACAGTCAACATTAACATTTGTTATCCTGGGAATTACCATAATCATCCATAGTTCAGGTCAACCAGAGTTTTAAAACATCTGCAATGTCCTCTTTAAGGCTGTAAAGGCAACAAGAATCAAATATGTCTACATATTGCAGGTGGTGATTCCTGCGTCGAGCGTCTGCGGGATAAAGAAACACAACTCAGGTTTATCCATGTTGTCTATCCAAACTGCTGATGGAGATAAGGTCAGCATACACACTTTAACATATAAATCTGTCTTTTATTATTTTGCTTCACTTTCTTTCTTTATTGCAATTTTGAGCTATATAAATATAGTTTTTTTTTACAGATGTATAGTTGATTGTTGGAAGTTGGATGGAAGCCAATAGAAACAGATTGTATTATTACATTTGAATGCCCATCTCCAAAACGTGGGGCTCGTTTAGGGACAGTGCTAAATACATGATGTAAAAATGATTTAGTAAGCAAAAATGCTAATTAACATCTGTAGTCCTAACATAATTCTGTTTGCGCCATGATTAACCCTTTCTCCTGCCTCTTTGTCTTCTTTTTTAGTGCACCTTTGTGTCTTTGAGGAACCGTGAGATGTGTTATCAACTCCTCCAAACTGTCTGTTCACAGGAACAGGTAGGAACTACTCTAAATCTCCATAATTTCTTACAAAGAATCAAATAAAACCAGTCAAACCTTTCATTTTCAGTTCAAGCTCATGCGTCTGTGTTTGTCTGACACAGGATAAGAACTTGAACGGCAGCCCTCATGTCTCCTCTGCAGATAATGAAGCTGACCATGACGTGGTATGTTCGCTGCTTATCTAATGCAACCAAACAAAGAGTTTCATGATGCACGACAAGTCTTTTACCTTCAGCCTCTCTGTCCTTGTCTACAGGCCTCCGGTTATTCCAGTTTGGAGGACAGCATAGATCATGATCGGGGCAGAGAGGACAGCATTTATCTTAACAACGACCTTCCTCACATGTCCAGTGAAGGTGAGAAACATATGACAGGGAGAAGTGACGATTAAACATCACTGGTTGATATTGCTTAGTGTGGCTCTTGTATGTAGCAGAATAATGTTAATCTCCTTCCAATAATGCCATTTTCTATTAAGCATGATGATATTGAAACTGTTCTTAACCGTACCACTGAATGAAACAACGTACTGTATATTGGTGACTTTCAGGATCTACAAAAGGCAATTCCACCAGTCAGAACAGCACAGAGGGAGATGGCACAGGTGTGTGTAGGGGCCCACACCAGTTTTCTTTTTTGATTTCTTCCGCTCATTATAATGCACAACTCCAGAAGGAAAAAAAAGAATTCAAACTGACAACCCTTTTTATTTGTATTACATGACTAACACAGAGCAAGGGGGATATCTTATTTGAGCATGAATAACAGTAGAAATGCTCTCTTCGACTTTTTTGCCCTATATGTAACTAATAATGTTTGTATAACTACATTTTCATGTTTGAAAAGTCCTAACTTAATAAAAGGTCTCATCAACACAGTAGCTAAACTATTGCAAAAATAAGTGAGAATTACAGAATTCTTCTTGTCTCTTAATCTAATACACATAGTGCTTTATTCAAAACGAAACAGAAAAACCTTTGTTTTGACTGTGCTATTAGATAATGTTCAGTCAGTTTATCATCTATTACCCATAGGGTATAATAGACAATAACAAGCTGATTTCTCTCTCCAGCAGCAGTACGGTGGATTAGGAGGATCGCTGAGAGTGTCGTTCCACTCTTCTTCCTCAGAGAAATCAGGGATCTCAGCGCTCTCTTCTATGTCTTCGTATTACTGTGAGTATTAATATGAAACACACACTTAAGATACATTTAGATAGATAGATAGAATCGGAGGGATGAAACCCTCTTTTAATGGTCACACATGCAGAGCACACAGCACACACAGTGAAATGTGTTCTCTGCATTTAACCCATCCTAGTACCAGGAGTCTAGTACTAGCTATTGTACAGCGCCCGGGGAGCAATGGGAGTGAGGGGGGTGGGGGGGTGTCCGGTGCCTTGCTCAAGGGCACCACGGTCGGCAGGGCAGGAAGTGAATTGGGACCTCACCAAGTAGCAGTCCACACTCCATATTTAGGTCTAGTCGGGGACTGATCATATTATTTTAACTTGTAATCAGGGGCGTCGCCTGGACCTGAAAACATTCGGGGCTTAGCCCACAGTGGCGGCGGCACTACAGTGGCATTTTTTACTGCAACACTCCCCACACGCACACACACAGTACACCCGCGACTGTTACAATGAAGGCTCGATAATCAGCTCACATATAGGCAGGGGTAAAGTGGTATTTTTTATGAGTGGGGGGCTCACCTCCTCTAGGGGGGTCCGGGGGGATGCTCCCCCGGGAAGATTTTTTTTTAAATATTGAAGTTAAATGCATCAATCTGGTGCACTTTGAGAGCAAAATGAAGAGATCTATGGATACCTCTCTCAACACCCATATGAAACAGAACTGTAAACAGATGTACTTTTTCTTTATGGATATTTTACTAATCACTCCCCTTTTAAACTCTATTCTTGTTTTACTGCCATATAGTATTTCATAACTGTTTTTCCTTTATTCTCTTTTTTTTAATAACTATAATGATCATATGAAGGTGTGCCGCGGAAATAATCTTTTGAATAATTTGTGACCAAACCGTTTGAGACCCACTGAGATAACTTAGACTAAAGTTAACTATCTAAACACTCAGAGAGTCCTTTAGCTCACCTGAGTCTCTCAGTCTGAGAGGAGAGGACTCTCCTCCAGCTTCTTGTGGAACAAACAGCTCCTTATGTCCGTTAGTGCAGCTAGCTAACCAGATGCTAACAACACGGCCCATGCTGACACCGGTCCCCTCCCTCTCCCCCCCTCCCCCTCCCCTCTCCCTCTCCCTCTCCCCTCCCCCTCCCCCTCCCCCCTCCCCCTCCCCTCCCCTCTCCCTCTCCCTCTCCCCCTCCCTCTCCCTCTCCCCCTCCCTCTCCCTCTCCCCCTCCCTCTCCCTCTCCCCCTCCCTCTCCCCCTCCCTCTCCCCCTCCCTAAAGGCTAAAGCCCCGGATGCCCAGGCCAGGCGACGCCACTGCTTGTAATTAAGTATTTTTATGATGCGAATTCGCTACTTTTACTGAAGTAAATAATCTCCATAATAGTGTTTAGTTAAACCTGTTAAAGGAAAAAGTTAGAAGATGGCCACTGAGGATCAAGGAACTTTTATTCTTTAAGCTTGGACTTTTAAAGATAACTAATAGGCTCTAAAATAAACATTGTTCAACTAAATATGGATGAACAGAGAAACATTTTGGTATGTTGACTCTCTGGATTGGCCTCAAGCTCTCAGGAGAATAAAATAATTTAATCTTGGAGATATTTATAGAAATGTTATAACACATTGTTCACACTCTATGTACTGTTATCTTTTTGTTAGGCCTCTTAAGTATGTAACCATCTGAGACCGTTTGCTCACTTTCTGCCCAAGGTCAAGTGCATTGTAATTGCATTGTGAGTGTAAATTCCAAGGCATTAACGTCTTTATTGTGTGTTTGCAGGGTGATGCTGCTGCTCTTGGCGTCTGGGTACATGGGGCTGAAGATCATCGCTTTGGAAGAGCAGCTGACTCAGCTGTCTTTCCAACACAGAGAGTAAGTAATCACAGAAATACAGAGGCGTGTTCATAGAAAGACCTGGTCTGGTGGGAAAAAAGGCGAGATGGCTCAAACCGGTTTTTAAAACGTTAAAATCCATTATTCAGATTAGATGCGAAAAGTCGTTCTGCAGGTTCACCACCGCAACGTGGACAAAAGATAAGTGATTACATCGGAGTCACACGCAAGGAAGTACAGCTACTGAAGGTGTCGGAATGTACTTACTGCTTGAGTATACATTATGTGTACACTACATTTCAGAGAAGACCTGTTTTACTTTGACAGATCCAGATTTGCATAAATACCATCAGTGAAGCTATGTACCTAAGCACAATGTTGTTGCTTTAGTTATTTCATTTATTATATTAATTAGATATCAGATATTTTAATTTTGACTTCAAATAGGTTATAATTAATATAATTATTATAGAATTTGCCACCCAGCACCTACCTTTGCAAGCTGCAACATAGAAGCGACTCTGTCAATACTTACTTTGGCAGTTGAAATATACTATATAAATATAGTTTTAAGATAATATTTTAGCACTTTTACCTAAATAATATGTTTACCTGTAGTGTAGTATTTCACTCTGTGGTATTCGTACTTTTACTCAAGTAAAGAAACTCAATTCTTCTTCCACCATTGCATACCATGTGATGAACAAAATGTGATGCATTTTCTCAAAGATTAAATTACCGCACTCAAATTCTGCTTACTCAACGACGCCTCTATGCTTAAAGCCACTTAACTTAGGTTGGCCTATATTGCTGATAAAAACCAATTTTACTTTTGTATTACTTTAAGTAAATTGTATTAATATGGTGCTACTTAAACTTAGTTAAAGGATTAGTGCTTTCTCCACTGCAGACCTCTCCTCATGCAGCTTCCTCTTTGTTTGCAGGTACCAGCTAACGTAGCCAGAGGCAGGTGACAGACCCTTCCAGGAAGTCATGCAGTGCACCCAAGCCCGGTTCTACGGGGGTGCATAGGCATGCATTGCACCCCCAGTTGAATGGTATGCACCCTCTATTCAAAAAAGAGAAGGGAGCGAAAAATATAATAAATATAACAACAATAATAGAATACAATACAACACAAATTGTGTCAGGTGTGGGTGACCTGCGCCGCTGCGCGTGCATCATTTCCAAAGTGCTTCCACAGCAGTGAAACACATCTGTGGATAATCATGGATATACGAAAATGGTTAAAGCAACCATCACTAAACGCCAGCAACACTGCATCTACTGCAGACAATAGCAACAGGACTGATGGGGACGTTACGTTACCCGCCGTCGTTGACATAATCTCGCCCGACTCGCCGCCCCCGCCCCCGGAGCAGCAGTCTTTGTCGCCAGAAACACCGCCGCCCCTCGAGGGGACCACGGCAAAACAGAGCCTGCCCAGGTATAAACAAGTACCCAACTCGCCTGTACAGTGGGGTAAGGCGCTCATTTTGCAGCTTGTGGTATAAAAATAGGCCATGGCTAGAATACTCATGTAAAAATAGTGCCATATTCTGCCATGCCTGTAGAAATGTTGGGTCAAAAATAATGCATACAATAGCACAGATGCCTTCACCACGAATGGCTACAAAAAGATCTCATATCCCAAGCTTATCAACAAGCTAATGTTGCAGCTGAAATGTTCTCCAGGTCACAAAGTCAACCTCACATGATGATGTGATACCAGTTTTCAAGCACAGTAAATATTCTCTTCCCAGAGTTATGGGACCAAGGTGATGATGTAGTACATGGTTTTAATAATACTTTTGCTTTTCAATGCTTGCCATTTCAAACCATGAGCTGGTTCAAATAATATTTGCCTTGATTTACAATATGTTCTCATTTGTTTTATCAGTACGGGTTTTAAAACGTTTGTGCTTTTCTTCACCATAGTCCACTTTGGACTGGATGTAATATTTCAGGATTGCACTTTTAACACACTTGAAATGTTCTCACTTGCTTTGTTTCAAAACATAACAAATGCCATAATCTGTTCATTGGGGACCATAACATCAATGCTATTTTTCATTGCTGTTGCCGGCCACTATTGCTCACGTAAACCTACTACTGCTGCACCCCCTGTAATCTCAGATGCACCCCAAGTCATTTTGTTCTAGAACCGGGCCTGAGTGCACCACTCTCATAACATCCTGTCATACACACAAACATTGATCCCTGTCTAGACAGGCTCCCAAAAGCATCTTAGTTTTTGACACGCATGCAGCTTTTAGTAGAATTTGCAATATCGTGCACAAACAAATGCTCTCTCAGTGGAGATTGATCTTCTGTGTCATGTTTGCAGAGAAAGCAGGTCAGCAATAAGATGCTTTTGGGATGTCTGAACAGGCCACACGGGGTGCACTACACGGATGACTGACTGTGCTGGCAGAGAAGCACCGGACCAATATTTCTGTTAGAGGAGCACACTTATTCTGTGCTGACAGATCAAAAACTGCAGTGAGGCTCTCCTGCACGGAGCCATATGGAGGCAGCCTGCTGAAGTCATGTTTGTTTCCTGGCCGGTGAACTCGCTGAGCTCAGCGAGCTGCAGTTGCATGAGTCTTGGCCGCAGTTTTTCTGGATCAACACAACCTGCAGCAGCGGGAACAAACACAGTGAAACAAGCACTTTATTTTTGCTTGGTATTAAATGTTTTTTATGTTATGACATGATAGTTCACATTGTGTAAATTCACTACTGGAATCTAGTGACATGTTTCAGAATAAAGACTGTTAGTGACAAGAATCCGCCAGCAGAGGGCAGTCACTCCCATTAAACTCCACTGTGAAGCACCAAGGCAGGATTTCACTTATAAATTCAGGCACTGATATTTCTTTTAAGAACAGTTTTTATAAAAAACCTTTGCTCTGGAATTGTTGCCATATCAGTCCTGTTGATAGATGTTTAAAAATATGTGATTCGAGAAATGTTGGCCAAATGATCTCCAGGACTTTAAAACCATTTTTATAACCACACATTTGAAATCTGTGTAAACATAAAAACGCAAACATATATTTGGTTACATAAGGGAATGGAGGTGGGCTCTAACATTGTGTGATTTGAAAAAAATATCCAAAGTGTAATGTTTAATTCTGAAAATAATATTGAACTATTCCCATACAATTTCAAATACAATATTGTCAAACAGGGTGTATACAGGATTTTAATAACTGTATTGTATAGCTGTGTATATATGTATCTATTCCATCTGTGAAGAGATGTTTTTAGTAAGTAATGAATATGTATATTGTGATTTTAAACCCACTTCTGTGTCAAATATTGCAATATTTTGTATCACTGTCTACCAGATGTCCATACTTATGAATGTATGCACTGTACAAAAAAAGGTTGTTATAAAAACAAAAGTCAGTTTCACGTTTTTGTACATAAGTGATCTTTTTTATTATTTTGTTGTCCATAAAAAGGTCAAGATTCAGTCCCATGAATTAATATCATTACATCATATTCTCAGTTCAAAAAAGCAACATAAAATTACAAATAATAAAACAAAGAATAGAATAGGTAAGTACAGTAACAATATAAACAGCCCACTAATATTGTCTAGCCCCTCCCCCCTAGCACTGCCCCGCTTGAACTCTAGCACAAAACTCATAACAATACATCAGTTAGTATCAGCAATAAAAAAATTCAAATAAAAGTCCCGTTTTTTTTTTAAAGCGCTTCAATGTTCCAATGCCATGAGTTCAGCTTTACCCTCACATAGAATACATAATAGAGATAACGTCCCACTTGCTCTGCAAAACACAATAGACATGCATACAGTTTTCACTGTTCAACCCCCCCACCCCCATCAATACACATTCAGGGCCAGAGGATACAATATATAATAGTGGTGCATCAATAAAACGGCGAGTCTCCGCCCCGTTTCTTGAACCCCATGAATGAAAGGTGGATCCAGTGGTTTCCCTGATAACACGCCCGGTCCAGGAAAGAAACTGATGCCTACTTCTGCTTCCAGAGAGAGGCCATAACTCTCAGTTTCTTCTGACAGCTCAGATCCCTGGTCCACGATGGTAACAGTTTTCCATTATTTAAATACCGAAGACACAAAGTACAGGATGAGAATGAAAAGATTCCCTGTTCGAAGTGATGACAGGAAGCGAGTGTCCTTCACTAAGACCCACTTGTACTCCCACAATGGAGTAATCAGATCAGTGCTAGTTCAGTACATGTTCCCTTAAAAAAAAAACGCAGCTACTACCACTGAAACTGATGCGTCTCCTATGCAGCGGACACCTTGTGTAGATCTGAAAATGCGGCGCAAGCCTGCGACCGTTGGGACCAGACCAGTACTTTTTTTCGTCTACACATAGGGTCTTTTACTAGTTATGATGCGAGTATTCTTAATGCTGGCCTGTAGAAGACAGTCAATAATAATAATGAAGACACACAAACTTACATTTTATACCCTTATTACACTTTGGATGCTTTGTACAATAGTGCTGAACTTAAGACCTGCTTTTGTCATGCTTGATCTGATATAAATGTGTAAATGTACTGTATACTACAGTACATGAACTATGTGTGTGTGCGTGTGTGTGTGTTGTGTTTGAATGTGTGTGTACGTGTGTGCGATGATGTGCAAAGGTGTGTGTGTGGTGGAACCTGCACCACACCAACAGTGAGAGGCTCAAATTATGGCTTGTGTCAGACATGAAGCGTGCTGCCACCCATAAGAGAGCTCCTGTACATTTAGGGCCACAGAGGTTACACAGAGCTATTAGTAGGCGTGATGTCCTGTCCTGGCACCTGACCCTAAACACATCGTTAGTCCTAACATCTACATGCATGGTTCTGAGACAGACCGTCCACGGCCCCACACTACATCAAACAAGTTCGGATGAGTTACATCAAGACAAAAACGTTAAGAAACAAATGTGCATTATGAACGGGAGGCGGACTAACCCTGGTGACGAGAGCTACCGGAGCAGGAAATGGAAAACAAAACTGTGCTGTAAGACACACACAAGAGATTCTGGTGGAGCAAAATATTATTCTGAATAAATCACACTTAATCCTCATTAGTTTGGTTACCTCCGCAGCTACTTTGATCTCCTTAAACCGTTAGAAATCTAGCCAGAACATCAATCTCTAAAAGGGTACGGTCACCAAAAGAGACTATAATTATTCACACACCTCCACAGTGGCACTTCAGACTTAACGGTAGAGTTAACAATTCTGGAAACACACCTATTTGCTCTATTGCCGAGGGTTAGATGAGAAGATTGATTCGACTCATGTGTCATGTAAGTACGCTTAAGGTCAAAGCTCGTTAGCTTAGCATAAAGTCATGAAACTGGATGAAACCGCTAGCCTGGCACTGTACAAATGTAACAAAATCCACCTGCCAGCACCTCACACATTAATAAATAAACATGCTGTATCTTGTTAGTGTAATCCACAAAAAAATAATGAAATGTTGCTGTATGCGAGGTTATGTGCGCGACTATTTCTTGTCCGAGTAAGCCGAGTGGTATAAATCTTCTCATCTAATTTCAGCAACAAACAGAATATCTAACTATAACTTCATACTTGACATTTATCCTGCTGTTACCAAGTCAGCGCTGTCTGTCCAACCTTTAAACGTCACACATTAGTAAATGCTGAAGGGCTACAGCCTTCTTTTTAAAGCCAAACCATCTAAATGGGACATGGAAATGACTAAATTATCCTTCACTTCTATATGTGTTCTAAAATGCCAGAGATACTATCAATGTGGCTCTAAAAGACCTGTTTCCATTTATACCACACCGTCGTCTCTATCACAAATATGAAGGACCTGATGGGGGGAAATCAATACAGGAAGTAATTCCCTGTACGGTTCTGCTGCAATTCTGTGAACAGGTAAAGGCAAAAGCTACAGCACAGCCATGAAATAAAGTGGAAGCCATTCTGGGATCTTTTCAGTCAGAAATGAGGGAGAGGAAAGTATGCGACACCCAACAGCCATATAAGCCATGCCAGTATTCCAGACTAGTCCTTTTGTTTCTCCGTAACTGACACCAAAGGGAAGGAGATGGACCCCCAAACCACACAAATAGAAGTAGGTTAGTGTTAGCTGGACAACAACTTGGGAAATGCCCTGGCAGTCACATGGATGTCCATTAAAAAGGTAAACAGGGGGGGGCAGGGCACATGCTTGACCAGTGTTTGTCCACTGCAGAGAGAACTGGTCAAGCTGTGGAGGTATTCTTCATACACACACGCAACAAAAAAAACATCAAATTGATAAGTCTCAATAAGCCTCCTCCACCTGTCCAAGTCATCAGGATGTCCTTCATTTCTTTCAGCACTGCTTCACACACACACACACACACACACACACACACACACAAACATGTCCATGGAGATATGAATAAACACTCAACTCTTATATCCATGACTCACTCATTCAGTAACACGTTATAATAAAAAATGACATCTGTGTGCCTTTCTGGACAAAGCACAAGTTACTTCCTAATTCATGTTCGTGACTCCTTTCAAAGCTGCAATTCATAAATGTCCCCAAGATAAAAAACAGATTTGTGAATTTGTTCAATCTTGTTCAATCTTGTTCAATCTTGTTCAATCTTCAATTCTTGTTTTTAGCGTTTCACCACCTAGCTACTGATATATTTAAAAACCGTTCTCACCCGAACAGGAAATCATTTAAACATATGTTGTGTTGAAAAGTAACTTAAAGGTGTGCTGCTTCAAAGACACACAGATGTGACAAAATATCACACACCGTTTTAGGTCAACTTCTCACACATACTTTGCAAACATGCCGACGTTCACACACACACACACAATCTCATTCACACGAGCGCAGAGAGGCTGCCGCTTGTTTCTCAGGCGTGCTGCGCAGCCAGGTCCTGGTTGATGAAGCGCCGTAGCCTCTCCAGGTACTGACTGTAAAGCTCAATGTCGTTGTGCCCGGCTCCCTCCACCCAAAGGGGCTCCACGGCCTTGGGGCAGCGCTCAAACAGGGCCAGGCCGTGAGAGAAGTCGATCACCTCGTCCTCTGTACCGTGGATGATGAGCACTGGAGACGGGATCTTTGACACTTTCTCTATGCTGCAAGAGAAATTAAGGAGGCTATTATTGCGCTACCCAGGCAATTTGAGAAAAAGGGGTATTTTTTCGGTATTGACCATCAATGACATAGATGGCATGTCTACTTAAGTGCTCAAATCTGTCTTTTCATATGTATAAAAAATAGAAATACATCTTGATATATCGAACTATCCAGAAATGTTATTTCAAAAAACATTTCTAGATAAAATATCCAATGGGAAGATTTGTTTTTGGCTAATCAAGCCTGACTAATCAAGGTTCCTCGTCACATTTGCAGCAAAAACCCCAGAGAGTAGCTGTTGCCAAGGTAACACCAAATGGGGATCCAAATAAACAAAGTCTTGTTAACCTATTATTACCGTCAAGCAGACCTACTCAGTGATATGCAACATTTTCCTCAGTGATACAACTAAAGAGATTTATATTGCCTCACAATATATCTCCACGTTACCCAACCTTTCTCCTTCTCCAGATACGTATCAGACACGTTTATGCACATTTTCATATTTCTTTTTAAAGCGATACATTGTAACTTTCCGAGTTTCCTACTTAAAACAGCCCTTAAGGAAAGACTTACTTAGGGAAGGCATCGAAGCAGTATGTTTTCTTGGTGTCGGGGAAAGCCACTCTCATGCCCGAGGTAAGAGGGGAGTGGAGGACAACAGCTGCACACTCAAACCGTGACGCCAGGTCCACTGTGGGCACCGTGCCGATGCTCTGTCCGTACAGGATGATATTCTCAGGGCTGATGCCATAGCTGAGACAACACAGACACACATAAACATTTCAGTACAGAACAATAAACAAGATGAAGGACTCATGTGTGCTGTAAAGATTTCCATATGCAGATGAGTGCAGTATCTCTTTCAGAGTGTGTTTCCTGTAGAAGAAAACAGTTGGATAGCTGTTTGGATAAACAGACGGTTGTATTAAAAGAGAGTCATTTAAAAAAATCAATATTAGTTCAAGTGTACTCTATATTAAGAATATTTTTGCCACTTAAGCTTGCCGTAAAACAGCTATTTCCTGCTGAATACTGAAGCCGTTATATATTTTAAAAAAACAGCAATTTGACCCGACAAAACACAGAAGTTGCTTATCTAACACTGAATTGATTGGGTACTTTGTCTTACTGTGTGACTTCGGTGAATCTAAACTAAACTTTAAAAACATTATAGTCCCACAATAACACAAAAAATTAACCAATGGAGGCAGCGAGAGATTAGCAACTTCCATGTTGTGCTTAAAATAATGTTTTTGGCAAAGGAGTCTGGTGATTATGAAGATGGCCCAGTCGGAAAGAGCTGTCAAACAGTAGGGTATAGTGGAAAAATATTCTAAGACTAGCTTACACTTAAAATGATATGGATTTTGTTTATGTTGCTTAATTATGTTGACCCTGTCCATAGCAGTATATTGCTTTACTTCTGGGCCATGATTACAATCTGCTTCTCCAAACTTGGGCCGCGGCAATCACCATATACTTTACCCTGACTGCGGAACTACCTCACACAACCCCACTTCCACAAATCTGTAAGTAGGGACTCTGGGACTCAGTGAGGAAATTCAAATTGAGTTATAACACCAATGTTTGTAGTTTTAAATTTGACAGTGGCCTCAAAGTTTTACTGTGTTTCCTCGTGGGAATAATATGTGTGTGCTGACATGAGGCTCATTAACCATGCTGGCAGCAGATAAACAAGAGGAATAATTCTCCAACTTTCAGATGCAGTGGCTTCATGCAGAGCACAGTTTGAAACAGCCAATCATTAGTCTGATAGATACAGAGCCATTACTTTGCTTTGATTTGAGTTGATGGTAGTCAGAGTAAGGGTACTGTGGTCAGCAGGGAGAAAGTTTGTATATAAATCAGCCAACCAAAAGTTCACAAAAAGTAACTGGCCAGAGATGCAAGTTCCCCATGCTGTTTTATCCAACAAAGACACTCTAACTGGCATCTGGTGCTGGTTGGCTGCTCATTTCGGGTTCTGTGTAGATGGGAATGGTTTCTGTTGCTTACCGGGAGCGCAGGGCGTGCCAGGCAGCATCAATGTCAGCGTATAGGTTCTTCTCAGAAGGCTTTCCAGTGCTAACACCGTAGCCTGAGTAATCGTAGGAAAAGATGTTGCAGTTGATGCGTGTGCCTAAGCCGATGTAGAAGCTGCTCATCTGGCCCAGGTCTACTGCATTGCCATGGGAAAACAACACTGTAAACCTAAGAGAAAAAGGCAGAAGAAAAAAGAAGAAAGTGAGGCAGCTGGCTGAGGCTAAGAAGGGAAACTGCTGAACTGGACGTCAAGTTGATAGAAATACATGATGTTTTATGAGCAAAATATATTTGTAATTTGTTCAAACAAAGACGGACAAAAAGATACAGGGTTATCTTTAAGTCTTCAGTCTCAAGGTAGGGGTCTCACCTGGCATTTGGGGCGCAGCGAATGTACATGCAGCCCACCCTGTTTCCTCGGCTAGATCTGGTCAAGAATACATCCGTCAGATCCAGCTCTCTCTGTGAATACTGGAACTCCGCTCTCTCTGTGAGATGAAGCTTCCACTTGCCCTCACTCCAACCACTGCCGCCAACCCCTCCTCCACCTCCACCGCCACCCCCTCCTCCAGCACCACTTGCTCCTGCAGCACCTGCCGCACTTCCAGCAGCAGCAGCAGCGGCAGCAGTAGCAGCAGCAGCAGCAGTAGCAGCAGCAGCAGGTCCAGCAGCAGCAGCAGCAGCAGCAGGTCCAGCAGTGGCTCCTTTGTCACTTCCACTACCAGTGCCCACCCGGGAACGCAGTCCTGGGGCTCCGAGAGAAGGCTGAGTAGCCCCAGAAACAGACCCAGGAGCAGTTGCAGCTCCAGTGCTTGGATCTGGGTCAGGGAGAAGGGCGTAGGTGGGCTCTGGAGGGAGGAAAGCTAGTTTGGCTGCAATGCGGCTGGGGCAAGGGGGGCAGCAGAACAGACCGCATAGTTCTCGAATGGACAGACCGTTCATCTTCTGGTGGAAAAAAATGAACATGGTAGGCAGAGTAATTAGGTGGCAGCAAAATGACACATGGAGAGTAAAAAGACAAACTGTCCACTATCGTCAGAATAACATTTTACATTTTAGTGAAATGTATCTTTCTAAGTTTAAGGGAAAATCAAGCAGTTATAGTTGCTATATCGATAGCAAAGGCCAAATATGTATAGATGAGGAAAATGTTGAAATGATGTGTAGTCACCTCAGCAGGTGGCTCATTGGTTTATCACATCCTATGTTTGCTTTTCAATCATTTATTAGAAGGTCAAGTCAGCAGGGGAAGCTATTTTTTTTCTTTTTTTAAGTAAGAAAAGTTTTTTTTAAAAGCATCTTAGAATAATTTCCTGGCTGAAACCCTTCACACACACCCTGTTGTATATGTACCTGGATTCAGAAATCCGTGAGTTTTGAACTGGCACAACGGTGCCAAGGTCTTCTGGTCTAGTCACTGCGCCAGCAAGGTCTTGATAAGAAGAAATAATAACAAGCAAAAAAAAGGCTCAACAGACATCAAGCAACAACATCACAATGTATAGTCACAAATGCATCACCGGCTCGTTAGCCTGTAGCGCTTTCTATGGCTACTATGTGCTGATAAAAAGTGAGATATTATAAATATCACGAAGCCTAAGCTATCCTTTTTGCTTTTTTAAACATTGCAGTATTAACCTGAATAAAGCTACAAGGACACTGTGTACAGCTGCGAGGACTTTGATTTAAATATAAAAGACATCCCGGATTCATTACAGGGCTTAAGGCGTCAGTTGTTATTGTCATCATTGTACAGCTTCTGTTAATAACTAGCGTTCATGTGTGCAGAAGTGATCTGCATATATACATATATTTACGTTGCTGAAATCTTATTGTGGGACTACAGGGATTCAGATGCCCTAATGTGATGGTGGACACAGGTGACTAATTATAACACCCCCTCAAAACAGATACAGGGAGCGACTGATATGCTAATGGTAGCTACATGGTTAACAACGATATTAACCTCTAACGTTAGCCAGTGATGGGGGAACATTACGGGAGCAGTGTTTCAGCGAAGCATTACATACAACTGGAAATGCAAAAAGACAACAAATAACTGCTTTTATTACACACTAATAACAACACAGGTCAATGCCAACTAACAGATAAATATTATCAACTATCGTTAGCAGGGTAACCAGCTAGCGGCGGCAGCTAGCATGCTATCCAGGCTAGCCTCAAAGCTAGCTACTTACCGATTCACAGTAGGCTGGCAGGCAGGCTGCTGTGCTCCTATTCGTACACAGAAGCGGTACAAGGTTTTGGAAATCCTTGCTTTCTCTTGACATTGATGGTTTTTCTCAACTGTACTGACAGATGTCGGTGGGTAGCTAGCTGAAATTCATGGCAACCAGATTTTTTTTTTACTACTGTCCGATTCAACTCGGAAGTGACGTAGGCATAGTCCTTTTTCAAAACTTTATTACAATGTACCTTGATGTGATGTATTATGACCATTTATATTGCAATAAAAGGTTACAAACAATGGGAACATCTTATCAGGTGTTTGCAGACATTTTTCAAACAACTGAATGTACAGAATTTCACAGTTTTCTTTCTCAAAGGTAAATATAGTCTACCATTATGGTTGTAGAAGCTAAAATAGGCTTTTGTGATGGCTTTATTTACATTCTTTTGATAGGATTCTGTTTTAAATATCATACCTATAAAATAACACGCTTCTTTAAATATTAACTAAATATATAAAACGAATGATATAGAAAAGGGGTTTGTATATATTCACCCAGTCTGAATATCCACATTCAGTGATGGAACAAGTAGCCTGTTCAGATACTTTACTTGAGTAAAAAGGTCATACCACAGTCTAAAAATACTCTGTTGGCCTATAAGTAACAGCCCTGAAAGTGGTATCACCGCTGTAGGCTACTTGTATCAAAAATAAAAGTCAGTGATCAATGCTACTGATGTGTTGAAATCTAAACAGCATTAAATGTTATAGCTGCTGTTGGAGTCCATTTTAACTACGTTATACAATATGCTGCTGGGCAGTTTGTAATATAAAACAATGCATCATATTTTGCAAACTGTTGGCAATGAATTAATGCAAAATCATATTTTTATTTGGCCATAACTGTGAAACAAATAGTGGAGTAAAAAGTACAATCGTTCCCCTGAAATATAGACCCAGCGGGGAAGTATAAAGTAATCATCTTAAAATGGAAAAGTAAATATTATTTTGAAAGTAAAAGTTGCCTGCCTTAAAATGATACTTGAATGATGCACATTAGGATACTTTTCACTACGAAATGAGAATAATAATTTGGCAACAGTCAGGTAGTCAGTCTATTATTCTTTATCTGTAGGATTGTGTACATAATTTTCAGAACTAAAACATGTGTGGACAGTCTTTTTGTAATTGTATATTATATATATAGGCTATATGGATTGCTCCCCTATGCAGCTTTATGTTTATGTGTAAGGCCCCATACTGAACATCATTAAACAAGTATTTACCATCGATAAAATGCACGTGTGTGTGTGTGTGTGTGTGTGTGTGTGTGTGTGTGTGTGGTGTGTGTGTGTGTGTGTGTGTGTGTGTGCGTGTGTGTGTGTGTGTGTGTGTGTGTGTGTGTGTGTGTGTGTGTGTGCGCGTGTGTGTGTGTGTGTGTGTGTGTGTGTGTGTGTGTGTGTGTGTGTGTGTGTGTGTGTGTGTTGTGTGTGTGTGTTGTGTTTGAGAGAGAGAGAGAGAGAGAGAGAGAGAGAGAGAGAAAGAGAAAGAGCGAGAGAGAGAGAGAGGGAGAGAGAGAGGTTCACCATTCATCATTGATCCACTGCAGGACTGTGTTTCGGGGGGTGTGAATTATGGGCCCCTGCTGTCACTGTGACTGCTCTGCGTTGGACATTTCACCTCGCCACTGTAAATTTAAAGAGGGGATTACATTTTGCTGACTACTGATTTCAAAGCCGTAGCCTGGCCGAGTGCAGACAAGCGGCCGGTGCTCCTGAAAGAAGACTTAATACAGTCCGCAATTGCAGGATCTGGGATTTCACAGTCTGCACAAGCCTACCGGGAGAAAAAACGTATTGAGGATCACAGAAAGCCACATAGGTTACCCCTAACGCGTTTAGACTACGGACTCTATCTCTCCAGGGAAAGAAAAACGTTTTGTAGTTGAATGGGCGTTTTGGACGCGCTCGGTAAACGGTGATGCTACGGCGGCGCGCAGGATCCGTAGAGGGAAGAGACAGGTGAGGTGCGGCTGGGTTGCTGCTGTTATTTCAGAGAGGCTTTGGATACCGAGAGCCGTGGTTTCCATCACCCTTTTCTCCACAGAGAAGAAGAAGAGCGACCGGAGAGGGCGAGTTGGCGACTGGCACCTGCCTCCGCCTCCCTACCTGGCCATCTGGTGCGGTGAGTGTGCCAAATGGTGGGATTGAGAGATGTATATGTGAGGGGAACGGGGGGTGGATGGGATGAACAGGTATATAGGCTACAGCATGTGCGCAATTTTTTAACTGCCACCAAACGCGATGCTGCATTATTACTCCTCCGGGTTCGCCAATAGATTTGTGTTGGACCTTTGTGGACATGAACTGCTCTTTGTGTCTGCTGCGAGTTGGATGTTTTTATTTTGTGCATATCTTTTTTGCATATCATTGTTCTTTCACGTGTTGCATAGTATCTTTTAGTGTTTATCCCGTTACGAATATATTTGAAGTGATGTCTCAGCAAAAACAGCCCACAATACTTGCACATTAAAACACTGCATCACAACGATGAGCACAAAGCCTGATTGAAATTCTCATTTGGATCACGACCCGGATCATAGGTCGTGATCTAAATTAGGCTTATGGCTCTTTTTAATTGTGTTGTTCCTTTGTGTATACTCATGATTCTTCATTAAATGTTTGCTCCTATGCTTGTTAATAGGAGTAAAGGTCACGTGTGATGATTTGGAAGCAAGAAAGTCAATTGATTTTGTCAATACTAACTCCCAGCTGAAACAGTGTGATGGATACACTGAGCACACTTTATTTCTGGAAGATGATTTAGACATATGGCCAATATCTGTTTCTCAGAGTCTTACTTAATTCCACAGACAAAGAAATGGGAGAAAACTCTAAAATATGGCTATATATCCTTTGTCCAAAACATGTCTTGCACCAATAACTTGTCACCTAAATTGCTCATAAACACACTGCAAACTCACAACCTGCACGGCCCAAGTTAAATGCTCACTCACTGCCATCCCAGCTCTTACTGAAGTGATTTAGGCCTGTATGTAATTTATTGTTAACAACTTCATCCTTCACACTAAAAGCTATCGAGCTCCACAGAAGGACTATAACGGCTCCCAGCTGCAGCTGTTTATGTTTGTGTTTTTGTGCTGGTTGATAGGCAAGAAGAGATGGTTTGAGTCCAAAACAATTGTAGGATTGAGGAGGAGGAGAGGGTAGAGACAGAAACACAGACAGACAGATTGGGGATACAAAAGATAAAGTGTGGTAGATAGCAATCTGGCATATAGGCTACAGGGGGTAGGCTGAAGATGTAAGAGACAGAAAAAGAAATGATGGAGCAGAAAGCTCAGAGCGAATGAGTGTTTAGGGAGAGGGGCTGCAGACAGCAGTCTGAGCGGGTGTGAATGGTCTCCCTGTTATCCCCGCTGCCCACACAGACAGCCACACAGCAGCCGTACGAGCAGGTGCTAACCCCACCACACAGCAACCGCAGGGAACAACAGGTGCAGCCACTGTTTCCTCAGCCTCCTTTTGCAAGGCAGTCTAACACCCGCCCATCCCAAACATACACAAGTCCCAAAACACCCACAGCCAACACTGAAGGGAACCAAATGGATACTTCAATCTACATTTAGGGAAAAAGCATGCAAAGGCCAGGCTTGAGTAATTCAATTAGAAAATTAATTATGCCCCAAACAAAGTTGGAGCCACTTGAAGTAATAGGGCAGAGCAGTCTGTATGTAAAAGCAATCTAAGAGAGCCTTAGGGTGAGACAACTGCCCACAGGGACATTTAATGAGCTCTATTGATCACATAGGACCCTATTCAATCACACATGCTAAGCTGCAAACAGGGCATCTCAAGCACGGGGAAAATGAGATTGGATTGCAAGCCTTCCCACAAAAAGAGTAAATCAACGGCAGATTAGTGTGTTGGGGTTGCTAAGAAGCACGTTGCTAGAAATGTGTTGAATGACAGATCTTGTGTGAGTGTGTTTGTGTGTGTTCAATAGAGTGAGATGAAACAAACAGAAGATTTGGGAAGTAGAGCGATGTTGCTTCTTTGTTCCTTTGACCAAGAGAACAAGTTGAACAATCGGCGATACATTTCCTCTCTTTACCTCTAGTAGAGGAACATTGACTGACTTTGTGGCTCTGAGCATGTCGTGTTCTATTCCTACTTCATATCAGACAACAGGATTGATTTGTTTCTTTTCTCCAAACCTAAGCCCCCCAGGACACTGTTTTTATACTACTGTCACTTGCTTTGAACTGCTGTAGATTTCCCGGTTTCACACAATCTGGAGATACCTCCCACTCACTGCTCTGTTTTATTCTAAGCAATGTCAATGAACGCTCCTATAGAGTTCAGATGAACTTGAAGTAACTTTCAAAACTTGCTGTATCAACTACCATCTGCCCCTAAAGCAACCTCCCCTCTCTGTATCAGAAAATAAGCAGGATTATTAACTAATCTGATCATAAAACAAAGCAAAGTTATGATTAGTTTCAGGAGATTTGGAGGAATGCTGATTTTCCTCAAAAGCGGCCAGCTACAATCTCTTTTGAAGTTCTAGTTTCACACAGAGTGCAGTGTTTGTGTTTGGTGGGATTCTTCAGTACAAAATCAACACCTTTAAAAACTGTGTAGAAGTCTGCAGACCTCAGGGCGGTGAGTTCAGAGGGACCTCGCTGAGCAGGCATCTGCTGGTTGACCTATTCCTGCAGTGAGCCATTGTGCAGGATTAAAAAAGTCAGAGTGCCAGGTGTCATGCAGGCTTACTTTCTTTACTTTTCAGAAAGTAGCTTTTATCCCGAGACAGGTAAATTCAAAATAAACTCCCTTATGCAAAACACGCTTTGTTGATGTGAGAGGCTTTGAAGAGCTTAACTTTTCGAATACAACTCCTTCCAGATGTTTGAAAAGGAAAGGAGCGAGATGTGAGGCACCACACAAGTTGAGGAGCTCTGCCCATAGCAAACTCTGCTGTAAATTGTCCATGGTGCCATAAACTGTATAAGAAAAATGATGCTCAGGCGGCCAAGGTGGCTGCTCCATGTGGATTTGGTTGCTGTATCAGCCACATGTACCATGTAATAATGCCCTGCAGTGGATTTCAATGTAGAAAATCCTTCTTATGCTTTACAGCGGCCATGCATCTTCAGTTTTATGACTCTCTGTCTTCTCTGATTTCTCCCCTGAGATGCAGCCTCTTTTTATTCATCCCTGTTCACATTGTGAGGTCTCCTCATGTGCTTTAACAGGCTAACACGTGTGTTCATTTTGCAATGTATATTTCGCTATCCACTGTATCACCTTAACAACACCTTTGACGCTCCTTCTTCCTTATCATCCTCATCAGGTCAGAATAGAATAGAATAGAATATAGAAGCATTTATTGTCATTATACAAGTACAACGAGAAGAGCAAAGCTATTCCTTTTAAGGGGCCATCAAACCATTCAGAATAGACAACATACAACAAAGACACGCAGCATTCATACATACAATAACAATGATGTGACATGCACGGCCTGTGTTGCGGTTTAGGGTCCACACATGCACTATTTAATGAGTGTATTTGTTGAAGTGTGTGTGAGGGTCATAAGAAGACAAAGTTAGTTTATCTCTCAAATGAACCTCTTCTCTTAGCATTCAGCTGATCCTTCCTTTTAACTGCCTGGCAAATTGGTTGTGAGTGATATCACAGATGTTTCAACTTCGAAGATAAAGCTAGTCTAATCTCCTACCTTCTGTGATCTCATTTACATTGCAAAATTGGAAAGTGAGAAAATAGCTATCCACTTCATGCTTTTACTGAGCCACTAACACACAACTGCACGCACACACGAAACAAAATAAGCAAATAAGGAAGTAACCTTTTCTCAAATGCCACCGCTAAGGCACTTGACTTTTTACTTCTTTGCACAAAATGAATGCAGGTATACACATTTCTCAGGAGCTTGGTCTACCCTGTTATATTGTGCTGCTTTTGTTGTCCAACAAACTCAGCCAGCACCTAAGCCAACGGCAGGCGTTAGTTATGGCAGCTTAGTCAGAAGGATTTGGAGACTTTTTTTATTTGGAGATAAAGGCGCATCAGAGTCCTTTGTCTCCCAGTTACTCGAGATGTTTTTTTTGCCTGATGAAGCTTTGTTGTGGCTAATCTTTCTTCCTCCTTATCCTGTCCTCTCCCACACCCGTCCCTTCTTTGCAAAACAAACACTTTTCTCTTTTAATTTTGTCTTTTCATCCGGGGCCCAGTCACAACTGAGAGGAGAGGAACAAAGTGTAGCAGAAACACAATTATACCTGCGAAGTGGAGAGAAAGCTCTCAGGGGAGGTGTCGTCTCTGCGTATGAGTGTGAGCGCTGCAGGTGTGTGTCTGCGCGTGCATGCGTGCATGAACATGTCAATCCACAAGCAGGCTCGTTGGCATTTTGATATCTGTTGTGTGTAGACCACCTATTGTGAGCTGTGATCCTCTTAGCAGGATTTTGCCAAAAGAGCTATATTTACCCTTACTGGTGATCATAGCACACAAAGAACAACATGACGAGAATATGAGCTACTGTACCTTTCAGCTTGAGCCTGCTTCTATGGCGGCACAAGAACAGCCACTAACAGGGTATGAAATATATATGCTAATGGCTGCCACATTGAGATATTAGCACATCCTATTTAGCATAGTCTTTGTTAAAGTAGAAAATGACAGGCAGGGAGATGTTGGGCTGTGGTCAGTTAAACACAGAAAGCAAACACACCTTGAATATAGCAGAAAGCTTGCTGGTTTCACAATTATTTTATATAAAAAGAAAGAAAATTACTCCTTTGTTATGTACATTAAGAAGAAGAAAAGATGCTTCCTACAGATATATGTCATGGACTACCTTGTACAGTACAAAATGCACCATTACCACTGTGTGACAAAACAACATAATAGCAGCATTAAAACAGGTCAAATTCACACATTGTCACTGTAGTGTAATTAGACAGCATCTTCATTGTCGTCATACGCACTGGTGTGTGTGTGTGTGTGTGTGCGTGCGTGCGTGCGTGCGTGCGTGCGTGCGTGCGTGCGTGCGTGCGTGCGTGCGTGCGTGCGTGTGTGTGACTCTGGGCTCATAGTGTGTGTCTGAGTGCGTGCACTGCATACTCATGCGCTCGCCTC